TATTTGGTTGCATATCACATGCTTGCTATAGCTGCATCAAGTCGATGACCCACTGACATCAACAAACTTGCATTCTCCTTTTGTGATGCTTTTCCAGGCTTTACCACAGCTTCTTTCAGTTGTAGTTTGTTTTGGGGGTTTCTCTCTTCGGTCTCCTCTGCAGAAGGTGAAATGCATGCTCAGTTGGGTTAAGGCCTGGTAATTGACTCGGCCAGTCTAAAATCTTCCACTTCTTTCACCTGATGAATGTTTGTGTGTTGGCAGTGTGTTTTGGGTCATTGTCTTGCTGCTTGATGTCCCTTCCGATTAGATTGAATGCATTTCTCTGTAAATTGGTACATAGAATGTTTCTACAAACTCTTGTATGTATTGTGTCAAATTCATTCTGCTGCTACCATCATGACTTACATCATCAATAAAAATTAGTGAGTCCATTTGGAAGCAACTATGCAAGCCCAAGAAATGATACTACCTCCACCATGCCTGACCAATGAGCAGATCCTTTCTTTCTCCACTAATTGGCCTTTGGCCTTTTTGCTAGAGGTTAATCTCAGCTTCATCAATTCATAAAACTGTTCCAGAACTTTTGTGGCGCATCTTCTGATGCTTACTGCTGATGAGTGGTTTGTATCTTGTGGTATGGACTCTTTATTTCTGCTGTCAAAGTCTTTTTCGAATAGTGGATTGTGATACCTTCAGTCCTGCCCTGTGGAATTTGTTGGGGATATTACTGACTGTTGTTTTTGGGTTTTTCTTCACAGCTCTCACAATGCTTCTGTCATCATCTGCTGTTTTCCCTGGCCAACCAGTTCGATATCTAGTTTTTGGTACACCAGTGGATCCTTAATTTTTCAGAGTTGCCAAATCATTGCATTGGCTATGCTATATGATTGTTCAATGGCTCTGATCATCTTTCCCTCTTTTCTCAGCTTCAAAATGGCTTGCTTTACATGTTGGTTTATCCTTTCAAACAACAAATGCTGTCTTCACAGAATAAACCTAGAGCTCACACCAGGAGTAAATGTTCAGCTATGGATTCATTAAACAATAAGTCTAACAGTCTGCACCTGGCAACAAGAAACACTTGTCAGTCACATGATTCAATATTTTTTGCTCACTTGGAAAATGACTAGGTTCAAATTAAAAGGTGCTGTGGTTTTACCACATTTAGATGTAAATATCAGGGAATAAAAGCTGAAATTCTGACCCATCACCTCATATTCATTTTTTGATCTCAAATCCCAAATGTATTCAGTGTAAAACAAAACAAAAGAATTGGCTTGCCATTCCAACACTTACAGATGAGACTGTATGTAGGGATTATCAGTACTTTTTTAATCCCTGTGTAACGGGACACACTTAGTCAGACGCTCCCCATTAAAAGATGAAAAAGAGACTTTACTTGTTTGATCTCAATCCACAATCAGGTCAAAAAAAGGCAGAGGTCAGATCCAGAATGAGCAAACAAGATACAGACATGAGTCCAGGCAACCGAAATCCAAAAAGGGAACAGGCAAAAGGCAAAGTTGATAAATACCAACAAAGGGCCAGATACACAAGGGATAACTCAGACAGGAACACTCAGTAGCTCTCTAGAAGAAGCAATACCTCACAACTAAGCCCATAGCCTGGGCTTATAAGCTAATTGGATACAATCACATGATCAAATACACAGGCGAAAAACATCAATAGTCAGGTGAAGCTGATCTCTGATAGGTGGGACCGGATGGCCTAGACATCACATGATCACCCAGGGGTTCTGGGAATTGGAGTTCTAAGTGTCATGGCTGGAGGAATGCATGACACCCTGGTCTTGTATGAGTACCTTCAGAGATTCTAAACTACTTTTCTAGAAACAGATAATAGAACAGAATATCTTATATAATAATCTAATTATTTAATGGATGTAGTTAAATGCAAACCTTATCTTTTACACAGTACACAGAAAGATGTACAAATGTGCACAAGCAGACCACGCTGTGATCAGTCCCAGTATTAAAACTGGTCTTATTTCATGTAACATCATGTATGGCTTTATTTTTGTTTGTACAGATTATGTCCAATGATGTTGCCAAGTCAACTCTGAAATATTTTCAGACTGTGACTGTGGATATACAAAAGAATAACTCTATTATTCAAGTACTTTTTCCAATAAATGACTTATTTTCTCTTACTTGAGTAATTTCTTTTATTAGTACTTTCAATTGTACTCAAGTAAATTATCCCTAAAGTATAAGTACTCTTACTTAAGTAGGGATTTTCAGTACTCTTTCCTCCCCTGCATAACATACTCACAAAAATGAACGAAACTATCACGTTTCACTGAGTTATTTGCCTACATATTTCCCCTGGGTTCCCATGACAAAACATAACATATAACCAAATAGTGATTTCAGCATTCAGGGCACTTTGGGCATCTCAACCAGTTAATTGAGTACTCATGTAACTGTTTGCATCCCTAGTTTGAATGTGAGATGATAAAAGAAGTTAGACTCACACACACACACACACACACACATTTTCTAAACTTCTTATCCTTCTGGGTCACGGGGGGGAACTGGAGCCTATCCCAGCGCTCATTGAGCAGAAGGCAGGATACACCCTGGACAGGTCGCAAGTCCATCGCAGGGAAGTTAGAGTCTATGCCAATAAACATCTGACTATAAACCTCCGTTATTTATAAACTGATTGACCTCATTTCCCGTTTGCTAGTCACAGGCCGGTGTCCGAAAAAAGCTGCAAAACTGTCCAGCATGTTCACAATGTGGCTATTTTTTCTTCACAGTAATTATTTTTTAAATTGACAGTGCTGTTCACTACCAGCACTGGCACTGTCACCAACTCATCATTAGAGTTGAGAAAACATCAAGTGTAAAAGAACATATAATTACAAATAAACAGACTAATCAATAGACTAACAGTTAAAACTGCACATTACATGTTCACATTCAGGATTTTGTCAAATTTAGCAATTCTTTGAAATTTTACTCCTGAAATGCACCCCTTTCTTTGATGTATGATGTATTCAGTTTGGGGGAAAAAAGAAAAAACTAATTTGCACCACTTTACACAAAAATGGCAGATCAATTAAATTTGGGCTAAGGTGGAAACTATGTAAATATGATTTTTAATTGATTATTATATTTATTTCATGACACTATTCACCACCACCACTGGTACTATCACGGACCTTAGAAAGTAACTCTGTACACTCTGACTTCAGCATAAAAGAAAGTTACTTCATGACACAGAAGCTGATCACTCAGAACCCTCAGACTGAATATTAACACCTTCATACAGCAGCTCTCACTCTAATGAAGACATAAAGAGAACATTTACTCACAGAGTATTACAGAGAGTGACCTGAACTCCATACTGTCCCCGTAATGACTGACTGACTGAACAATGCTCTGTGTTCAACACTCATCACTTCCTATGTTCTAACACTCAAAGCACATGTCTGAAATAAAACTGGGGGTGAGGAAGACATATGAACTCACATGTTCTAAGCAAATTCAAAATAGGAACACGAGCTCTACAGTGACATGTTCTCATATGAAAAATGCAAATGATTATTTCTTTAATCCCTTAAGTTCTCAAGCTTGTTACATACTAAATCTTATTATTCAGTAACTACAGGGACTTCAGTGCAAACTGGCTGAGCTATTCTTAGGTTATAGAGGTGTGAAATAAAACTTTGGGCCCCCTGGTGTGGTTAATCCCTACACACACACACACACACACACACACACACACACACACACACACACACACACACACACACAGACAGAATGGTAGAATCTTTTGTTTTAATACAAAAGTAGACAGAACAGAACAATACTATAGCTCCTGTTGGCCCTACTGGGTTTATTCAGTGTCTTTACCTGAATAAAGAATATTACTGGCAGTGAAATAAAGGAATACCACCGTAAGAGAATAATAGTAATAAACATTGATTTAAGCATTTCACCAGTTATTAAATCTAAACAAATAATTTTCATAAAACAAGTTTGCATTGTTACACAAGGTTTAATGCCTGTTTGAGTGTGCATACAAAAATAATATGTAAAGTAAAACATGTAAGAAATGTATAAAAGATAAAATAATTTTATGTGAGGTAAATAGCAAATGATTATGAAGACAAAAAGGAGCAGTGCTGCTTTATTAATGAATATTTCAATATTTATGACACTGTACCAATTCAATTACATTCATTTAATTCATTCTATTACAAAATAATTAAATAATTAGGACAAATACCTGATTAAATTATAACTGATTAAGAAGAAACAGTCATTAAAGCATCAAAGTGAGAGGAATTTTAGATACAAACGGTGCAAAAAATATATATCAAAAATAAAATGCATTTGCAAAGACAGTGCCACTACTAATACTGCACTTACTAACACAGAGCACAAATAAACCTGCTGGTTGTTTCAGTGGGTGGAGCTGTTATTTAAAGCTTCTATTACTGACCTGCAAAATAAAACAATCCATTATTTGGGTTTTAAGGTACAATTACCATGTAAAAATGCCATTTGACACTCTGCAAGATTCTCCTGCTCTTATAGGCCTACTTGCTTCTGTTCTGTGTAACTCACAGGTTTAGCTGTGAAATGTACAATAATACAATTGTAAATCTAGCCTTTAATCAAATGTTATCATACAGTTTCTGGTTAATATATAAACATTTTGAAGAATTCAAGTGAATAATTCTTACCTCGAGCTCTGTAGCATTTGACCACTATGATGATGGACACCAGTAGATATGGAAATACTGCCATTAAACTACTGAACAGACCAAGGACTGGGAATGGAGCTTCTGAATAAAACAGATCAAACACACACAATAGTATCATTATAATGTAGTTTAGAACTTATTGCTGGATTCATTGATAATATAAATGTCATTTGTCATTTGCGAACCTTTAACTGAGATCCAGCTCTTTGGTGACTCTCCTATCTTTGGGTGTTTACACTTATAGAGACCTTCATCTGACTTTGAGACAGTAAGGATGGTCATCTCTCCTGTAGTCTGAGTCTGGAGGAGTGAACCGTCTTTATAGAACTCAGTTGTGAGGTTTGAGGGCTTTGTGTGGCGATATAAACAGCGCAGAGTCAGAGGATCTCCCTCAGATACAGGATGAACAGGACTCTCCAGGATAACAGCACCATCTGTAGGAAAAAGTAAGACAGCACTGAAAACGTGAAGTTTTAAGAACACAATGATGATTTCATCCCACAGACCTACATCAGTAACAGTATATTTCAAGTTTTTCAATAACTTTTAGATTTTAAAACAGAATATACTACATGAATTTCCAATCATTAGAAGAGTGTAGACTCACTTTGCACTGTGATGTTGACAGGATTACTGCTCTCTCCAGATTCAGACTCACACCAGTACACTCCAGTGTGGGATGTGTAGAGGGAGCTGATGCTGCATGTAGATCCTGTAACTGATCCCCAGCCTGATGAACAATCTGACACTGTCTCACTGTTTGTGTATCGTCTCACTCTCCATCCAGTAGAGTCACTCTGTCCCTCACAGCTCAGTGAGAGAGAGTCAAGAGTAAAGTGTTGAGTTCTGCTGGGACTGACCATCAGAGAGACTGGACGTATTGTACCTGAGAGATGAAGAACACACACACACTGTTGCTTCGAAAGACTGGTGAGTACACAAATACACTGAATGCCAGTACAATGAGTTTGATAAGTACAATAAATACACAGTGAAATATTGCAATATTTCCTCAATAGGGCTGTTATGGTATCAAGGTTTCACAGTTAGTGACAGTATATAATTGGACAGCTATCCCACCACTGACTTTTCCAAAATACAGATTAAAATGCATTTTCTTTGTTTCCATTCATGAGTTAAAGATCCTTAAACCAATGTTTCTCAGCCTATTCTAGCTGCCACCCTGAAACACTCCAGAGCAGCCTTCTTCACATTGCGGTGCATGCAGGCGAAAAGGGCACTATACTGCTGGCAGATGCAACATTGTTATTTAGAAATAGCTTATTTAGTATGGCTACCAAACACATGAAAACACACAAAAACACAGCATTGTAGGCCATAAATAACCCAAACTCTTATTTTGCAAATATCTGACATCGCTGTCACAGCTCTGCCATTTTGATTAAATCCACATGCAGGGTTCTTATCAGTGTTGCTAGATTGCGTGGGTTTTGTTTGTATTGTTTAACATTATGCCTGTAAACATTCTTTTATATCTGTAAATTCTTTTGACAATGAATTAAGCATCATTTTGTTACTTTCTTGCACACGATTTCTTAAGTGTTTCCACTTTACCACAAATGAGTTATTTTTCTTCTTAAGATGCTGGGCAACAAATCCTGTACCAGTATTGTAAGCTCACCGGACAAACGTACCTAATAGCGTGTAATACCTCCACAAGCATAAATAACAGCTGTGAGAATTGTCATCTTGGAATACAAGAATAGGAATGTTATGTTCCTCGGTAAGATGATGAGCAAAAGGCAAAACCTGATTGTCCAGCAGCTCAATGTAGGCACCGTAGTTCAAATTTACTGTCACCTCAACCAAAGGACCCATTTCAGTATAATTAAAACACTCCCAGAACATCACAGAGCTCCTCCAACTTGAACCACACCTTGCATGCAGTCCTCATTGAAGGCTTCCTGTGGTCCACAATGAACATGACGCCCAGCATCATTCACATACAGGCAGGAACGAGATTCATCCGACCAGATAATGTTTCCAGTCATGAATAGTCCAACTGTTGTGTCGCTTTGCCCAACGTAACCAGGCAACTTTGTGAGCCGAAGTGAGCAAAGGACTCTTGTGAGACTCTCTGCTCCATATGTTCATGGTCTGCAGTTCCCTGCGAAGTGTTCTTTCAGGAATTAGTTGTGAAGAACCTGCATTGACTTCTAGAAGCAGTTCTTACCTGGAAGCAAAGCGATTTTTATTCACAAGCTGTGAAACACGCTGGCAGTCCTTATCCGTCAGGTTGGACTTTCGGCCACAATTCTGACGAAAATTTCCTGTAGAGTGGGATTTTTGCCACTGCTGGTAGACCCGTATGACTGTATGCTTTGATACACCTGCAAATTTAGCTACTTCCTTCACATCATGGCCTCTGGCTGCCCAAATACAATCACTCCTTTTTGCCAATCATTGACATCTGCTTTGCAACCCAGTTTCCACACATCGAACGAGACATTCACTGCACTGGTGCACTGTACTACCTCTTCTCAATCTCGATCATCCTCGTGCAAAGCCATCTGCAGGAGCCTCAAGTTACTACCACCTTAAACATGCAAGGTGACTAATTTTTTGTCCGGGGAGCTTATTACTCTACTGGAAGTAAGCATCATTATTTTAACTTGCCACACTAACGGGCCTCTGTTTATCATTTACAGCAACAAGCTTGTTGAATGCTACAGCCAGACCCTTAAAAGGATCTTACAGTGCATTACAAAAGTGCCCCCCCCTTGTAAGAGCACATGGAGGAGGCCCAAAGGGAACAGCAGAGAGTCTACAATCACCCCGCCTAGTCTCAGGCATTCTAGTCGGGGGACTGTGTCTTGGTCCTCATTCCAACCACCACTTGTAAGTCCTCGGTGCCTGAGGTCCATATACGATCAAGGAGCTAGCGTGAAGTACAAAGTACATCAGCATGGTAAGACTTCGGTTCCTGTGTTGATAGTTGCTGGATGCACTGAGAAGTTGCGATGCAGTTCTATACTTGAGAACTTTTCTGACCTGACACTTTTATACTTCTACTGAAGCTGTTTTTTGGAAAGACACTTTTACTTATAACATACTTATTTTTAACAAGACATTTGCTTCAGTCTGGGTTTAAGCTATGCTGCCCACCTCCGAGTATCACTTATCAGAACGTGTTTTACTCACGAGTGACGTTCATCCAGAGGGCATCACTGTAGTGAGTGTAGTAGACTGGGTTTCCTCTCCCAGCTCTGCACCAGTACTGTCCTCCTTCAGAGACACTGACTGAGCTGATGGTGTAGGAGTGTGTTTCAGTCTTGGTCTCATTCTCAGGGTTCTGTGTGTGTTTGAACCAGTAAAACTTCCATCCAGCAGACTGATCTAGCTTACAGTACAGAACCACTGGATTTCCTATCAGTGCAGCTCCTTTATGGCTTGATGTGAGTTCAGGTTTAGGTTTTTCTGCTGTTGGAAATGAAACACACTGTTCAGACCATGCAGTGACAGTTTGCACACTGATCTCAGAGTCTTTACCCCAGGAATTACTCACCTTTTACAGAGAAACCCACTATGTTGCTGTACTGTGATGATGAGGGTCTGTTATCTCTCTCTCCTCTACACCAGTACTGACTGTGACCTGCTGCTGATCTGATGGTGAAGGTGTTTGTCTGAGACTGATAGACTGCAGTGCTACTGCTGCCTTTATACCACTGATATCTCCAGTTACTGTAAGACTCTATATCACACTTCAGAGTGACCGACTCTCCAGTGAACACAGGTCTCCATTTGGGTTCTATAGTCAGTGTAGTTCTGGGTAAAGCTGTGAGAACAGAGGAGACTGATTTTATATGGAGACTAGCTATCCCATCTAAAGTTCTTTAAATGTTCTATCAAACAATATATTATTTTTATTTGTTGTTGAAGATGAAAAAAAACAAAAGTCTGATTAAAAACCACTAGACATATCTTTACAATAAAAATACAGATGGATTTATATTACCAGATACAGCATCAATGTATTATATTAAAAACATCTATACTGATACCAATTAATTTTGCAAAGGTTACATGATCATAATTACCTAATCCTCTTCAATAAGAGGACAAAAGCAATGATCTTACCTTTCACTGTGAGAGTAACAGGATTGCTGAGTTGTGATGATGAGGGTCTGTTATCTCTCTCTCCTCTACACCAGTACTGATCCTGATCCTGATCTGCTGCTGAACTGATGGTGAAGGTGTTTGTCTGAGACTGATAGTCTGCAGTGCTACTGCTGCCTTTATACCACTGATATCTCCAGTTACTGTAAGACTCTATCTCACACTTCAGAGTGACTGACTCTCCAGTGAACACAGGACTCCATTTGGGCTCTACAGTCAGTGTAGATCTGGGTAAAGCTGTGGGAGCAAAGGAGAGGAGAGAGAATACTGTCATTGCTTCTTAACCCTGGTCCTGCGGCCGGTCTCACAAAGCAGGATATTTTCTTAGTCTAGTTCGTATTATGATGTTGAATTACTTTTACTGGGTTTGATCACTAGGACAACTTGTGCTGCACATCCTAACCTGCTCCAGGGCAGGTTAAGTTCAGGATTTCATATCATAAAAACCCCTCAGATCATAAACAGATCAGCGATAGATGTCTTTTTCTTTTGGGTCACTTTTATAACGAGACATTAAGCCGCTTATTCTCCTGGGTTACGGGTGTGCTGAAGCCCATCCTAGCGCCCATTGGGCAGAATGCAGGAAACACCTTGGACAGGTCGCCAGTCCATCAAAGGGCAAAAACACAGACATAAACATACACACACGCTCATAGCGAGGGGCAATTTAGTATCCCCAACTAGCCTGACTGCATGTCTTTGAACTGTGGTAGGAAACCAGAGCACCTGGAGGAAGAAACCCATGCAGACACGGGGAGAACATGCAAACTCCACACGGAAAGGACTCTGGTCGTCTGGCCAGGGAGTCGAACCCAGACTGTTCTTGCTGTGAGTCGACTTTTCAGCTAAGGAAATCAATCGTACCACATAGATATCAAGAATATATAGCAATTATTACTCCAGTAAGCACCAACACAGTGGCAGTGTCAACAGTGTTGCTTTTTACTTTTACAAAGCTTTACTTTCTACATATTTATGTAGTATGATTTCTTTTTCCTACATTGAAAAATAAGCTACTCGTCTCCTCCTTATGTTTCAAGGGAGTGACGTGATTGACTTCTATGTGGATGCGCAAGAGGATTAAGCATAGCTTGGGTATCTAAACCTGGGTTAACAGAGGAGGTTGTTGACCGGCATCATAAAGCGAGTAAACCATGACTGCTTTTGGAACCCTGTGTAAATTGAATGTGCTTTGTGAGACTGGACGCTGGAGGCCTCTTGCTCTGCACATTTTAGTGTTATCTCTGCTCCAGCACAACTGATTCAATAAAGTGGCTACTTAAGAAGCCATTCCTGAGTTAAGTGTTTGTGTTAGAGAAGGAAAGCATTAAAATGAGCAGGACAAGGAGGCCTTCAGGTCCAGAGTTGGAAACCAACAGCGTTCAGTATATAGATTTATAATTCCATCTCTGAAATCTTGATGTTCTCTTTTAACAAGGCATTGTTGATGTTTGAGTATTTGAGAGTTTATTTTTTTAAGATGAAGATTAATGCATGTATGATGTTTTGTAAATTATTAATTTGTTTCAATATTTTTAATAATTTCTGCATAAATAAATCTTTAATTAGTAAACAAAGTAATTCGGAGTGGTTGCATGTGAAATGCATCATTGTATGGAAAATTACCAAGTCAGAATTATTTACAGTAGTGGTGATAGGAGCCAGATGTCTGAAGAGCTGAATGCCTCTAAAAGCATTTAGAAAGAGTTTAATGCCTCTAAATGCCTTGTGTTTTAAAACGTTTGTTCTGATTTTCCACTAATTTTCTATTTTTAACATTACTTATAAAAACTCAGAAGACAGGTGTAGGTTTACTGGTGGTTTTGGATGGTAAACAAAATGGCTATATATGGCTATAAGAAATCTGAATCGGTATTGTTTAACATCACTTAGAAACCAACAGTGTGTGATACTGTGATATTCCACAAATCAGATTTGTGGAAATTAAAGTACATTTTTAAACTCACCTTTCACAGGGAGTGTAACAGAGTTACTGTACTGTGATGATGTTGGTCTGTAACATCTCTCTCCTCTACAGCGATACTGATCTCCATTAATCACAGCACCTTCTCTGATGGTGAGAGTGTCTCTGTTTACAGTGTAAGACTCAGACTGAGACACTGCAGTCCATCTACTCTGTTTATCCTGTTTATACCACTGATATGTCCATCCATCATGAGTGATAATATCACACTTCAGAGTGACTGACTCTCCACTGAACACAGGACTCTCTGGTTCTACAGTCAGTGTAGCTCTGGGTAGATCTACAGAAAGAAGAGAACAGCAGTGCAGATTCAGAGCGTTTAGAGTCCGTTTCATGAAAGGACCAGTAGCATCAGTGGTGATGTGTAACATGGAAATATTAATAACTTTCAGAATCTACCATTCACTGCCCAGTCCATATAATCCATGTATAAACCAAACACATTTTCATATGTCTACCATCTCAGCCTACAGCACTTTAGCACCACTTTAGCAGTGTTTCAGCCTGCTTTTTTGAATGATACACCATACAGAGCAGCCAATCAGAACAGAGGTCATTTACACATCTTAAAAGGCACAATAACAAAAACACAAGCCTGTTTAATTGTAAGGGATGAAGAGAGGTTGGAAAATGGTTATGTAGAAATGAATAATGACTCTTTTGGTACATACAACCACACAAACATTGTAACTGGACTTCAAGAAAAAAACAAAATACAAAAGAAATGTGAGATATTGGCCCTTTAATAGAAAACACATATTAAACATGTGATTATGTCTATATTGCTGTGGTACTGAGGTTAATGAACACTGAAGAGATGATCACACTCACCTGATACAGTCAGTGTAACAGCATCACTGGTGTGTGAGTAGCGTGATGTTTCTCTCTCTGTTCCTCTACAGGTGTATTTTCCACTGTAAGACTTGGTAACGGAGCTGATTGTGTACTGCTGTTCATTACTGACCGGAGTGGATGAACCATCTTTAAACCAGCTGTACTGCCAGTTAGAGACACCTTCTCCCTGTATGTCACACCTGAGAGTGACAGTCTCTCCTCTGAACACCTGTTTGTCAGAATTTATAGACACCACAGCTTTTGGTCTCTCTGTGGAAAGATAATAAAATATCAGGAAAGGTTGTTACTTTCATGTCAAAATATGTCTGCAGTGTTGAATTAACACATACAGTGTTCATAAAGTGCATCTAGACATGAGTGAACACTATGAGAATTATTAAACACTGGGGATTTTGCTGTATGTAAGAACGACACTGAAAAAACATGTAATTTAAAATGATGCACCTCAGCTTAAAATGATTCCTTTAATGTGTTTAATTGTGTAGCATTGCATAACATGTACAGTGTTAATAACAGGTATCACTGTCAACATCAGCAGTTCTTTTTCCTGGTCCTGGAGCCCCCTTCTGGACATTTTAGTGTTTTCCGTGCTCCAACACAATTGACCCAGCTAATCGAGTGTTTAACACTCGTGTCAAACACAAGGCCTGTGGGCCAAGTCAGGCCCATGGCAGAATCCTCTTCAGCCCACAAAATTATTTGAATTTTCTATTAATATTAGCCCATTTCACCATGAGTTGCACTACAGTTCGCAGTATGCACTGCAGCGTAATGTGTGCTTCCACCCTCTCCCCAACAACGAGAAAAACAAACACCCTCTCCCCAACAACGAGAAAAACAAACAAACAAAAAAAGATGCCAGGTTTTCAAGGGAATAGGCACTTTTAAAAACCTACTGTACATTGGGGACATTTAAAGAGTTTTAACAGTTATCTGCTGCTAATGTAGTCTATTGTTTTATATAAAACTATTTGTTTTTATTTAAAATTATTTTTGAATCATTCAAGTATTTAGTGCCTATTTTTGCTGTTGTAGTTTTGGCATATTTTGAACAAACAATGGCCAGTTGGGTTCACGGCAAAATGTTAAATAAAAATAAAATAAAAACACACCTGGTCCATGGATTTGATGAAATGTTTTAATGCGGACTTTTTAGTGGTTGCATTTGACACCCCTGGATTAACAAGTCCTTCTTGAGTTGATGTATTAGAGCAGGGTTCTCCAGATCTCCAAGTCTAAGAAAGTCTTGTTAAAATAATAACCCACTACACTGGTGCTTTAGGCTCCAACAGTTCAGTAGTTTCAGAGTTTCGATATTTTCAGGGCTTTTACACACTTGGAAAGTTTTTGTGGCTGCTTAAAACGTAAAAGAATCACACCAAAGAAACACAGACTCCTCTAAACAGACACTGACTGAGCACTTTATAAAGAACACCTGTATTTGTACTCATTCAAGCTTCAAGTTCAAGCTTAATAGACATGCCAGGAGAGCTGATGTCTTTTTTAATTCCTCTCATTTTGTACACTGAGAGTGGAGCATTTTATTGGATTTTTGCTTCATTTTGCCATTATCTATGTTGGAAATACTTTTCTGTTATAGTCTGTCTTGTGATAGCAGGCCTAACTCAGTTAACCCATGTGTTCATTGTGTTTGTTAGCTTGTTTAATTACATTTTAGTTTAGAAGGCTTTAATTAGTGTTAACTATCACAATATTTTTATATATTTATTTGATTTGATAAAAGGCAAACTAATTGTGTAATGTGTTATGTAAAATTCTCAGTTATATTCTTTTTAAATATTGTTTGTAGCTAAAATTAAAAAGCGATGCTGTAGTTAGTGTTTAATGATTTTGATCCATGTTCCCCTTTTTAACTTACAGCACCTGCCCCTTTAAGGGTCTCTGGGAGGAAAGCATGATGTTTATAACGAATAGCTAGTCATGTGAAACATGAAGAATAGTTGCTAAATAAGGAAAAATAAATCATGTTACCTAAATATGTAGTGAGTAAACCATTTGTAATGGTATAAAAGTGATACTGTTGCCACAGCCACCAGGGTTAAAGTTAGCTATGCAAGAAATACTGCCTTGTTACATGGATTCCTGGATCAAGAATGCTGAGAAAGTTACCTGTAATTTTACTTATTGGGACCCCAAATGTGTATCCAATCATCAGCAATACACAAATTAGAAAGTTATACATGTATTTCATTAAGATGGCTTGTGGTAGTCACTGTTACTACTTATTTTTTGATTTCACAGTACACCAGCCAGCAAGGTGGAGAGCCCTAGAAAAAGTCTTGCTTTGGCAAGATGTGGCCCCTAGACTGGCCTGCACAGCTGATATAACATAATAATGCCAATAAATTCAGCTTTTGGAACGGAATGAATTGGTATCTTTAGTCCCCAAACAGTTATTAAATGCTAAAGGAAAAGTAATGTAACACGGCGGTAAACATGCTCAGTTTTTGGAACATGCTACAGGCATCAAATGTGGAATGAGCATATATTTACAAAAAAAAACTAATACATATATAAAACAAAATAAAATTGTAAGTCTATAAGGTAAAACTTCAGATAGAATTGAAGAATCACTGCTTTCTGTTTTTATTAGCATTTTTTGGAATTGATGTTTATATTTGACCACACTTTCAAAAGTGGCTCAGGCAATGATTATATGATAAACTTGAACAGCATTACCCATAATTCAGTCTTACCCAAGGAGGGTCTGAATTCTAAATGAGTTGGGGTGTGAGCAACAAGTGGTCTGAGATCTCATCATTGCTAAAAAGGACAAGGAAGAGAACTGAGTCCCCTTTAAAATTGTAAATACAAAAAGCACTGAGGCCGTTTGCAGCTTCTCCCCTTTCAGCTTCACTTTGACAGGCCTGTTTAGTTCATTTAAAAAGAGCTGTATGTTAAAGCACTCTCAGATGTACAGTTGATTTTTCACTGGTGTTACAAAAATACCCACAAGTTATACTTACATTTAACTGTGAGAAATCCTATCAGCAGGTAGAGAAATACATGAAACCATTTTCAACGATTGTTAGCTTCTTACATCTAATGCTAAAGACACACACTGTAAGCATGAAGCAAATGTTCTTACCTTTCACTGTGAGAGTAACAGTATTGCTGGGTTGTGATGATGTTGGTCTCTCATCCCTTTCTCCTCTACACCAGTACTGATCCTGATCCTGATCTGCTGCTGATCTGATGGTGAAGGTGTTTGTCTGAGGCTGATTGACTGCAGTGCTACTGCTGCCTTTATACCACTGATATCTCCAGTTACTGTAAGACTCTATCTCACACTTCAGAGTGACTGACTCTCCAGTGAACACAGGACTCCATTTGGGCTCTACAGTCAGTGTAGATCTGGGTAAATCTACAGAAAGGGGAACATGCATGCTCCATTTAGAGTCAGCATTATATTGAGATAATACCAAAATTAAACATTTGTACAAAGCTGATACTGCAGTTCATTATTAAGGTGAAATCAGCAAAAGTGAGACATTTTTTTGGTAGACGCACCAAGAGATCCTCATAAAAGCTATATACTCCTATCTCTCATATACATGTGAGTTATCACAAACCTCTTACATGTAAATGTGTAAAAAAAGGGCCAGGATTGAGAACCTCTGATCTAAACACTTAAGCGATTACCCACTGCACTGGTTATTTGGCTCCTACAGTGTCCTTTTGAACTCAATACTTTCAGTAGCATAAGTGTTGATTACAAAAATGGCCAGAAAAAAAAAACATTCTGTTAATAATTTGAGTTATACCTATAGTATATATACAAGAATGCTGGTTACACATGTAGGAAATAATTCAACATTTTTATTTGGCACTTTATCTATTTTTAATGGAATATCTATTGTCTAATTTCTGTGCTGCTAACCTCTTAAAAGTACAAAAGCAGTTATCTTACCTTTCACTGTAAGAGTAACGGGATTGCTGAGTTGTGATGATGTGGGGCTGTTATCGCTCTCACCTTTACACCAGTACTGATCCTGATCTGCTGCTGAACTGATGGTGAAGGTGTTTGTCTGAGACTGATGGACTACATTGCTGCTGTAGCCTTGATACCACTGATATTTCCAGTAACAAGATTCTATCTCACACTTCAGAGTGACTGGCTCTCCAGCGAACACAGGACTCTCTGGTTCTACAGTTAGTGTAGCTCTGGGTAGATCTAAAGAAAGGGGGAACATGCATACTTAATTTACAGTCAGCATGATGTTAAGACGAAACACAAATGAACACTTGTGATACTTAATAGGGTGAACAGTGAACTCACTAAAAGTGGGAGTTTTTAATAATTGCAATAGACCTGGGCGATAGGGCGGTGTAATCAGATGTTGTTGATGATTGACAAGTAAGGAAAAGATGATGCTATAAAGGTGAAAATCACCATGTGGGGAAAGATGACTGTTGAAAAAGTGCACTATTACAAGGTATAAATAACCCATTAGGTGACAGTAGAACAAAATTCCCATTGTCTTTGCAGGGGGCTTCCCCTGAGTACCTACCATCTGAGGACAACTCTAAGCATTTTTCTATTTTATTTTAGATGAGGTCTGGAGTCTGTGTAAGTCGACATTGATTTAATCTACACGCATCAGCCGCTTTATTAGGAACACCTGTACATCTGCTCAGTAATGCAATAAAATCACGCAGATATGGTTTAAGACCTTAAGTTAATGTCCACATCGAAACTTCAGAATAAGGAAAATACATGATCCAAGTGACTGTGACTGGGTGGTTGTTTACTTTTTAGGTTACTGCAACTGATCAGTTAGTGCTAAGTGAACCAGCACTACCACTGGAAAACAAGTGTGTTTCAAATACAAGTTAGTCAGTTTCGAGTAAATCAAATATAAGCTCGGCTCTGTCCTGCTCTCTATCTCATTGGCTACCAGCAGCCTTGCATTTTATTATATCCTTTATCTGCATATGTGAATATGTTTCTTGTAATAATTTGATATTTATAATATATCAAATGTTGAAACTGAAAAATTTTAATGTTTCTTGGAATCTCTGCCCATCTTCACTTCTAAAAGACTCAACCTCTCTGGGATGCTCTTTTAATGCCCAATCATGTTGCCAATTAAGTTGATTAGATTTGAGATGTTCCACCTGGCATTACACAACTTTACCAGCCTTTTGTTTCTCCTGTCTCAATTTTTTTAATCATGCTGCTGGCATCAAATTAAAATGGGCATCTATTTTTCAAAAAAACATAAAATGTTCTAGTTACAGTTGATATGTTGTCTTTGTATTGCTTTCAATTAAATATATGGATCAAATGATTTGTACATCACTGCATTCTGTTTTAATTTACATTTTGCACAACCCCACAACTTTTTTGGAAATGGGGCTGTAGTTAGATACTGAGGCAGTGTTACTCCAGTTTGTTATTGAAGGAGTGATATATGGAAGGAACAACAGGTGTCTTGCAGCCTGCTAGCCACGCTCCTGTTTCCACTGCCTGTGCTGCACCAAAGTACGGTTTGCTGGGTCGGGAAAAGCTGCTGTATGCTTACATATACACACCACAGATTTTCTATACATTGTTCAGCTCTGTTTTTACGATTTTTACTGTTCAGTAAAACTTAAGTTGCTAAATAAGTGAGAATTATGAAATTTTATATTGGAATTGCATAAATATCAGAATTTTCTGGCACATATGGATTAGTTAGGTTAGTTTTTAACAGATATTTGGTACTCAGTATCTGCTGATTCTTGAGGATTAGGTAGTCATATCATAAGGGGAAAATGGTGTTGGTGAATCACTCATGTATGCAAATATACATGAATGCAAATGAAATGGGCGGCACGGTGGTGCAGTGGGTAGCGCTGTCGCCTCACAGCAAGAATGGCCTGGGTTCGATTCCTGGCTGGGCGACCAGGGTCATTTCTGTGTGGAGTTTGCCTGTACTCCCCGTGTCTGCGGGTTCTCCGGTTTCCTCCCACAGTCCAAAAACATGCAATCAGGCCAATTGGACATGCTAAAATTGCCCCTAGGTGTGAGTGTGTGACTGTGTATGTCTGTTTGTCTGCCCTGCGATGGACTGGCGACCTGTCCAGGGTGTAGCCTGCCTTCCGCCCAATGACAGCTAGGATAGGCTCCAGCACCCCACCGCGACTCAGTAGGATAAGCGGTTTAGATGATGTATGTATGTATGTATGCAAATGAAATGCCATGTACATTATTCACCTTGAGTTTGTCCAGAACGGATGAGTACAATCAGCCCTAAAACAGAGGGAGAAACAGAGGATATGATGCATTAATATAAAATGCTAGGTGGTATCACAAGTAGGATTAATGAGTCTGAAAAGGCTGTGGCAGTGTTTGTTTTTTTTGGGATTTGGAATGATGGTAGATGTTTTGAAGCATGTGGGAACAGAGCAACGTTCCAGTGATTTGTTAAAGATGTTTGTGAACATCAGTGCTAGCTGGTCACAGCAGTGCTTTACGGTGGATGGAGAGACTCTGTCTGGCCCCGGAGCTTTTCTCACCTTTAAGAGCCAAGGTGGGGGAGGAGGACAGGGGACTGGGAGAGAGGTTGAAGATTCTATATTACACCTTCAAATCAGTGGTAGAACTTATTCAGGTTGTTGGTGAGCTGGCAGTCATTCAGGAGAAGAGGAGGTTTTATCACCTTGGTAGTTGATAATCTCTTAGAGGCCTTTCAGGTTCCAAACTGAAATTAAGTCGTTAGCAGCAATGTGGCTTTTCAGATTTTCTGAGAATTTTTCTTTGCTGCTTTCTCCAATTTGTAGAGTGCTGTGTAGATCATTTGATTCATGGCAGGTCATTTATGTATCATCCATCAAAACATAAATGTTATTTTAGTGATAAAATGATGTTACTTTTACAGGACTCAAATGCTAAACTAGCATCCAGGGTAACATCAAGGTCCTTGACTGTAACGTTTGGTTACACAGAAAAAAAAACATTAACTATTAAATGCCTTATTTTCACAGACTTAAGGCTTGCTTCTGTTTTATCCAGAAGTTAGCTGGAGGAATTTCCTGATCATCCAATCTTTTATGTCTTATATCCATTACATTACTGAATCTGGCTGAGATGACCCAAATTAATTAAAACCTAATTAAAATTAAGGTTTGAGCGACAGCCAACATTTTGTTATATGAAGTATATGCCTGGGGCTGTAAACAGAGGAAGAACTCTATAGGCCCTTAAGCAGAACACTGTGGAACACCATAAGAACTGCCAATTTACATAAACAAATTAGCAGTCAGTCTGTCAAGCAAGATCTAAACCAGGTGATATCTTGGCTGTCTAAGCTAATGTGTTTTGTAAACTGTTCACTAAAATATTGTGGTTGATTGTATCAAAATTTCCACTCAAATCCTCCTGAAAGCCAGATAGCTACTTACTGTAAATCAAACTGTTGGGCTACAACGTCTTCCAGAATCTTACATGGAAAAGGAGTGTTGAAAAAAGCAATAAGAGGAAACCCACACAGACACGGGGAGAACAGGCAAACTCCCCACTGTAAGGACCCTGGTCACCCGGCCAGGGAATCAAACCCAGGCCCTTCTTGCTGTGAGGCGACAGCGCTACCAAGATCATGTTCAAAACTACTATAAGTAAAATGTCACTTGCAGAGTTTACATTCAACTGCCTTAGAATCACATTTACAAATATTTAAGTGCATTAAATAACAGTTAGTGGATTGACAGAATCTTATCACCACTGTAACATTTTTATTAATAATTGACCCCAGTTAAACTGATGTGACTTTAGTTAATAAACTTATCAATATTCAAAATGGATCTTTCTCTGATGGGCTGAACTTGGAAACACAATCCCAGTTTTTTTATCTTTTCTGTTTCTTACTTTTTCAAAAAAATAAATAAATAATACTCAGTTAATTGTGAGTTATTCTACCCTTCTACAAATTTGAGGACATGAAAATAAATAATAAGAATAAATCACAGAAAGTTTATTCTGTAGTTTATTCTAATTTTTGTGGTTTGTTCTGTATATTCTGTGTTCTACTCCTAAATTAACTAACAAAAACTATGAGAATTCTTCATAGACAGGATTTCACGCTAGGAGTTATAAGGGTAAAGTAACCCATATGCATCTCAAGAATATAAAAAATAAGTCCCTTATTGAAATAATCCCACTTTGTCTTTGAGGAAATAAAAAAAAAGCATTAATATGGCAAAGCTTCATAACTTGGCAAAGGTTGTGTCAACACATGGCGGTATTCATCAGAACACACAAAATGTCAAAATCATGAAACCCAATTCCAAGCAATGGAATATGGTGGTCTGAATGAGGACATGGATTTTTCTGAATTTTTGAATTGAATTCATTTAAATGGTGCATTTAGGTTTCTTTTTTATCATTTTTTATACAATAATAAGTCATACATACATAAATCGCTACATATTCATTATAGTTTATTGTACATTAAAGGATATTCTGATTAAGAATTTTAATCCCTTTACATTGTAGATTCAGTTTTTCCTCTTACTTTTTAAAATGCCTTTGTTGTTTGGTGGGACAGTAGCTGATTAAAATTTCTTTCTTTCTTTCTTTCTTTCTTGCTTTCTTTCTTTCTTTCTCTGGACCATCAGCCACCAAAATGGTAGAATGACCATTCTTTCTTCATGAGAATTTCATTATATCACAAAAAAGGTTCCAAGGGAACTGTGAGAGATTTTTTTATTATTGAAAATTTCCCCCTAACGTCTTATACAAAACAGTGTTTACAATAATTGGGGGAGTTTAAGCTTTTAGTCCTGAGGTGGATACGGGGCATTATCCATTGAGAACCTTAGACTGTTACATATTTTTCATATAACAAAGCAGAACTTGTCCACGTTGGATTTTGAATTTTAATGAAATTACACCTAAAATAAAGTGCACCTAAAAATGAACTTCTCTCTAACTTATGAGAGAAAAGTGAGTGTACAATCTAAACTACCTGAAGTTATTAAATCACACAGAAGCTGATCACTCAGAACCCTCAGACTGAATATTAACAACTTCATACAGCAGCTCTCACTCTAATGAAGACATAAAGAGAACATTTACTCACAGAGCATTACAGAGAGTGACCTGAACTCCATACTGTCCCCGTAATGACTGACTGAATGAACAATGCTCCGTGTTCAACACTCATCACTTCCTGAGAGAAAGAGAGAGAGACAGAGAGAGAGAGAGAGAGAGAGAGAGAGAGAGAGAGAGAGAGAGAGAGAAAGAAAGATGTTTCAAGTACTAGTCTGACTTTTCAAGGAACAAACAGGGCAAGCGTACATTAGTTTATAAATTTGTTAATTTAATTTAATAATTTTCAATAGGATAAAACTGTTCATCTCTTCATTCAGTAGCTGAAAAGCCCAATAAAAGCAACCAACCACATGAGATTTCTTTGTGCCTCATTATCAGCACTGATCCAGACACTTTACACTGAATAGTAGTTTAATGAGTAGGTTCATGCTCAGTACTCTGATAAAGTCTCATCAACAATCTGAACCTGTTTATGTCCAAATATGGTAGCAAAGAGTCATAACAATTGTAACCGAGGAAGTTGCCTCTGTGTTTGATGCTATAAATGTCTTGATGTCACTGATACTATTTCTGTTTCCTAAAGCAATGCAAGCAGTCACGTGTGGTGAGCATAGGATTAAACTGCAAACAGAGCCTGTAATAATAATCAGTATTAACAGTAACATAATAGGTAGGCTTGTGAGCTACAGGTCACTACAGGCCCCATATTATGATATTATCATGATACTTGAGCCATGATGCAATTCTGGTACCATATTTAAATATTTGTGATATGCTGTTGTAATTTAAATTTAAATTTAAATGTAAAATTGTCTTAATGTAGGTTAAAGCATTCATAAAGTGCACTATTTGTATAATAATCTTTAACATGGTCACATAACTGTAATTAATAAAGTAAGAAAGATCAGAAGAAAGAATATATGTCCAATTCTACAAGAGCTTAGATATGATGTTTTGTCTGACGATCTGACACCTGACCGTGTGGTTTTACCATGTCCTAAAATGTACATCATTCTGCAGGCAGCTTTTTGTACAGGCATTATATTTGCCTTCTGCAACTGCACTATCATCTTATGGATTGATGCAAAAAGTGCTTTAAAGTCTATTTGTCAGGCTGTTGTCTGGTGAGGGTCAGGGTGAGAGTTTCCACTTGCCACCGTCTCATTCCATTTGGACTAATGAAGCTATTTGAGGCTTTTCTAGTTTATTTTCTCTACAGTCCGTTTGCAATTTGTTAAATACAAGAAATCCAGTATAGATGTGCACTGCTCTTTACGTGAAGCTTCTTACATCACTGAGTTTCAGGTTTTTTTCAGTCTTATTATAGCTGAAGATGTCATTGCCACTCTTTCACTGGAAGTCAGAAATATGTTTAGCAAACTAAACATAGCTGGCTAAATGTCTTCAACAGGCTTACATTAGCTAGCTGTCTAGGTTGGCAAGCTAAACAAGCAAGCTGACAGTAGCTACGAAGAAACTGACGAGCTGCAATGAAAAGTGATAACACAACAAAAATTGAATGTAGCAGAAATTACATGTTTCAAACATTTTTATTGTGTTTTGATGTGCAGACTCAGCCTAGTATTACTACCTACATGCTGATAATATGATTTAGGCTATCAAAACATCCCGATTATTCTGGTATGCTGGTAACATTTTCTGATTGGGTGATTTAGGCTATCAGATCATTCTAATTACTCATTTCTGACATGGTCATTTAGGCTATTGGAATATCCTACCTGCACTTTTATGTAGAGCACTACCTATAAATATGCGCTACAGTAGGACATTTTGACAATGTAGCACAATTTGTCAGAACAGAACACTGGCAGTGCTGAGTAGATCACTGATCTTCACCTCATTACTTCTAAGAAGTGTTTGCCATGCAAACTACAGAGAATCTATTTTAATGACAAGCCCCTAACCTGAGGCTCTCCACTGCTGGTGTATGCTGACCTGCTGGTGTATGCTGGTCTGGTGTTGGTTTAGCTGGTCACTCAGCATGGTCATACTGGAAAATACCAGCATCCAAAATACACCAAAATATCGTCACTGTCAGAACAAAACCTCCTGTCTCCAATAAAGTCTTACAGAAGGCGGAAAAACATAATTTTTTTATTCCATTTCCAAGTTACTTTGGGCCATTTCTCCATTTGTAGTTGTCTGTTCATCATGAAATTGTGACACAATGTAAAGTACAACTGGCATTTTGAAGTTATGCTAAAAAACTACAAAAATGAAGATACAATGTTACAATGTTTTGTTCTGACAGCGACGGCATGCTGGTTCTGGTGGTGAGCAGCATAACAGCTTCATTGCTGCTGACCAGCACACCAGCATCTGGAAAATCTGATCAGGATCATTTAAAAACTCCTTTGCATTGGGTTAAAATTCCATGATGAATGGAGGAATAGAATTGGTCTGAAATTACCTGGAAAAAATCTCGTTATATTAACTTCCATGAAAAGTTAAAATGTTTTCTCCTGCCCTATTAAAGGTACCATTTTGGACATACAAGGTTTTGTTTCAATTATTGCAATGATATGCTGGTTTTACTGGTGAGCACCTAGGCTGGTCTTTGCTGGTTTTTCCACTAGCAGAGTAGGCTGTACAAATCACGCACATACCAGTTCAACAGAATATTCAAAGCCGTCAAGTAAGTCTAACAGGTTTAATAACCTAAAGCAAATCTATCATCTATGTTTTCACCTTTATCAGTGCTTCATGACATGATCACAGTGTTTATCAGATTCACATAGTACACTTGGCCTTACCATTTTCTAGACTTTAACCATTTTCTGTCTGAAGAAACCTTCTACAGTCTCTGATCTTTGTTTCAGATGTTGGCTGCATCCTTTCTCCTTTGTCAAACTAATCAACGTAACATATACGTTCAGGCTTATCATAGTGAAGAAGCATAGCATGACATCTGCTGTTAACAGCAGATCAATAGCAGATTTGAGGCAAATGAAAGCATACAAACAGATTTTATTAGACAGCTTCAGAGCGCAAGGAATTAATGACATTGTATAGCCAAGCATCACGGCTGACCATGAAGAAAAATCCCAATCTAGTCACATGCGCTCTTGTCTTGGTCACAGTGGCCTCTGTACATGATGAAAGATGACGACAGATCTTGATCTTCAACAGATGGGTAAATTGTAGATGCCCACACACAGCTTGCAGCAGACAAAAGTGCAATCTTACATCAACATATTGTTTTAACAGTGTAATGTGTGGGAGACTGTTGAAGGACAGTCACTCAGAGAAGAAGTAATTCAGAAAAAGAAGTAAAATGGGAACAAGAGTCAAGAAACCATATCAGTGTATCAGTGTTCATGTGTGTGTGTGTGTGTGTGTGTGTTAGCAGTATTGTGTAGTGCAATGCTTCATATACCTCAGCCTCATTAGTTTGACAGAATTCATGATTTTATGAAACTTTCATGTTTTCCTGAATCAGCGTTCTCTCACTACAATACCCAGCAGGCATTCTGCAAATATATCATGCAACCATTGGGAATCCCTGTGGTTTCAGCCAATTCTGCCTGTTAATTACTTAAACATAGATTAATTTCATAGATTTTATTTTTTGCTGTATGAAGATAGAATTGCTGTTTTCTTAATGATTTTATTCAACAGCCTAAAGGAACTAAAGGAAGCCTGGTTGTATTTATTACCATGTAGATCAGTGGCTAGGTTAATTCTCTCAGTGCTAATGAGGATTTAAAGACGGACGGCTCCTGCAGTTACGCGGCTGCAATACGACATTCAAATTCCTAGTTAGTGATGTACTTTCCTTCACCTGCCGACTAGAGAAAAAGAAAATCAAAACAGCCCATCCCCAAAAATTCACCTCAAGAATTCAAAGCTTTTCAAAAGTTCCTCTTCTCGAGGTACATCATTCAGTTTCCTAGTCTTCAAACCCAAAAATCTCACATCAGAGGCTACTGTGGCACTGTTGCGGTAAGCAGGTATAGTGATGGTTACATTTTTCATTTGTATCTTTAACACTGTTATTCACATCAGTGAAGCTGGACTCTCCTCCTGTTGAGACCACAGGTGTTCAAGGCAATTATCACAAGTGAGAGCATTGAGTAGAGACACTCCAGTCTTGTCATGCTGACAGTTTAATCTCTATAACAATCAATAAGCAATGTTTTTATATGCTGGCTTCTTGATTTACATCAGAATATAAAGTAATCTCCAATGTCAACTTGACCGCTGTAGAAAATAAAGGTGTTAAAGGAAAGATGGCTGGAAATGTTTCTCATTACCACATAACATTGCATATCCACTACCATTATTTTGTATACGTATGTGATAAAGTTTTCATGAACAAAAAGTCCCTGATTGCTCTTTTATTAGGAACAAATTTCTGTGGAACTCAAATTTATATCTGAAATTGGGACACATAAGATTTGTGATATTCCCTGAGGTCCTCACTGGTTATAATGTCAGTGCATAATCAAGGTTAGACTTCAAAGGATGTGCATTAGTAGCTCCCCTGCACTCTTCTGTGCTCTATTGAAAATGCAAGTCTAAAGAAGCATCTTGACTTAGCTTGGCTTATACAGGCCATCGGAATATTTTACCACAATAAACGCCAAACTGTTAGTTGGTTTCTTTTATTTCTCAGATTGTACAAATGTTTAGAAATTGAAATGAATCCAATACTGTGAATGCATTTATGCTCTAATTCTCGAGCCAGTGAATGAGCTCACAAAAATATCTTGTTGCATGGTTTAAAGTGAAATAAAATAATGTTCTGCACATCTTTGTGCATCAGTGTGTCGTTAAATAAAGTAAACATCGTTGATAGAGAAACGTAATGTGGCAGTAGAACTGAATTCATGGAACTGAATTTCATTTCCTTACATTCAAATTCTGCAACATATAGCCTACTTCGATTTAAACAGTTTACTGTGCAAAAGAAAATGAAATCGATCAGCAATTCTCAGTTTAAACAGAGATAATCTCGGCCGAATCTCTCCCGCAGATGATGAAGCTCTTTAGTCTGGTTAACGCCGGGTTTTTTCGAATGTACAGGTTTCCCTCCTTGAACTTTCATTCTAGAAACAAGACAATACAACTGCTTAAATGTTTTAAAAAGGTTAAAATCTCAGCACTCCTCCTTTTTCACTTGAACACATTGGACTTGTACATTACAGTATATTCAATGACGCGGCTCCGGTTGCTGCCACACCTGTCTTTCCATGGGGATATCAGCGTCCTTCTCGATATCCTCCAATGTCCTTTAGTGTTCTTCCTGTTGTCTCTACCTTGCAGTGTCTAGTATTTGTCATCCTCCGTGTCGCTCAGAGGCTCGCAGCCGGCGACGGAGATGCTCTGGGCCAGCCGCTTGCGGAAGTGTCCGTTGGGGACCTGCCAGCCCAGACGGGAACGGGTGCGCACCGAGGCGGTGATGGTGTTGGAGCGTCCCAGGCTGGTGGCCACCGCCGCCTCAAAGGTCAGAGTCTCCATGGGGGCGGAGGAGTCAGGGCTGTGCTCCTCCTCCTGCAGGGCGAGGTAGGGTTCTGAAGGGTAACGGCGGGCGGCGGAGCCGAGGAACTCGTCCTGTTCTGAGCGCGTGCCCTCTTCCTCCTCCTCCTCCTCCTCCTCCTCCTCCTCCTCCTCCTCCACCCTCACCTCCTCCTCTTCCTCCGCATTTTCGTCCCACAGGGCATTGCTGCAGCACCCCAGCATGGGTGGCCCGCTCTGCTCCTCCTCCTCCTCCTCATCGTCGGCCTGCGAGGAAGGGTGAGTGTGGCACACCAGGGGCGAGTAGGAGATGTGGGGGTGTGTGCGGGTGGGCGTCTGAGACAGCCGACGCTTCCCACTCGGGGTGCTCGACTCTGAGGTGGAGGGAACGGGGCTGTCCGAGCTGTTGCCCTAAACAGACACAGACCAGATGTTTATATAAATAAATGTTTATGCATATTTTCTTTTTATATTAAAAATATTCGTTTAGCAGAAAAAAATCATATTTAGACAACTTTCCCTTTAGCCCAATTGTAGTTGATTGGCCAAGATATGTTTAGTGTACAAAATTTGCTTTATTGGTTTTGCAGTGGTCTAACGTAACTATAAGTAATGGATGTTTATACACACTAATTAGCCTAATTAGTACACGGAAACTTCCAAAAATTTGCATAATGCAACCTGCATACTGAGATTGTTAAGTATTATTGAGCTAAGTAATATTGAGATTGTTAAGTAAAACGGGCATAACAAAACAAAACAGGGCTGTGCAGAGGTGAAGATACGTTCCTCACGCTAAACATTTTGTCAGAAATAGACATCATTAGATAATTTAATGAAAGAAGAAAAAAAGCAAAACAGATATGCTAAATGGCAGGATGCTGGTATGTGGTGTGTCAAGAAGGAAGCATTTCACATTATAAAGTCAGGCCTGAATGTAAATGACACCATAAACAGGCTGGTCTTTTATACAGCTCTTGTAAATGTCTTTGTTTGCTCCAGTTTCTTAGACTAACTAACACCGTGCATGCAAATGTAGTTATTGACTCCTTTCCGCTGAAGTGACAAAGCGGCCTTGGTAAACCTTTCTGTTTTGCATTATGTAATACAAACGAGGAGAGCTTCATATAACAGTGCTACTGAGGATCCACATTTCTCAGCTGCAGCCTAGCTTTTGGAACACAGCTACACTATTAGATACTGTTATCTATAACAGTGGTTCCCTGTTCCTTGATCCAACTAATTAGCCAGTTAATGTGCAATTCATGACTTTAATTGGGTGTGTTAGAACAGAAAAACACAAAATATATGCAGAACAGTGAGTACTACAGAACCACAATTCTAAGTGGTGGGGTAGATTGGTGACAGAGAACCTATGAGATGGTTCTAACTTTACAGTACTTCCTCCTGGATTAATCAGAATATTTCTGAAAGATGTTCAGGCTCTAAGCTTCTTTGTTGTATCTTGTCATAAAATCTCATTAGCTATGTCATTCTCTCTTCATCCGGGGTCGACCAGAGGATGATGGATTCCTCCCTTGAGCCGGGTTCCTCTCGAGGTTTCTTCTCCTCACTCCTAGGGAGTTTTTTCTCGCCACTGCTGCCTCGGGCTTGCTCATGGGGGGCTTGGACCTGATTTAGTTCCTTACATGGACTCCTTTTTATTTTTATTTTATTTTTATTCTTTTGATAACCCTTCCATAAACTGTTTTCCTTCTATAAACTGCTTTTCTGTAAAGCTGCTTTGAGACAACACTTGTTGTAAAAAGAGCTATACAAATAAATGTTGTTGTTGTTGTTGTATACAATTCCATAACTTGTTAACTACATTAGCCTCATGGCACCAGCGCAAAACTAAAGAACTAAACTTCAAACACCAAATATGTCTTTGCTGATCGACTACATTTGTGGTCAGAGGAAAATTGTATAAACTGGATTTTTTCAGAGCTTTTGCCTTAATATTTACATGCTATTAATTGCAAAAAACACTATGTTTTTATTATTATTATTATTATTATTATTATTATTATTATTAGTGTTATTAAGAGTGATACTTCCTTTCAAAGACATACTCTTCTATTATAGTATTAGTAATAGTATTATTATAATAATAATAATAATAATAATAATAATAATATTGTTGTTGCTGTAAATAGTACAAGATAGTTTTTCACCTTTTCACATTCAATCCTCTTATTTTCATATCTTTACCTGTCGGGTGAGGCCATGTCTTCTTTCCTCACTGGGTGAGCGTGAGCAAGACTTTGAACTTCTCTCATTTGAGTTAAAGCGGGAGTTGTTGGGGGACAGCAGATGGCGCTGTTCCTTGGACCGGCCTCGCTCCCTTTCCGCCTGGTGGGATTGCTCTGAATGTGACACTAAAGAACATGAAGCAGATTGTGTCAGAGAGACCACAGCCAAAGTCATCTGAAGTGTGATAGATGGGATGTTCATGCAGCGCAACAATCTTCCACATTGAGGCTCCAGATGGACTTTTTGTCCAGCAGGTGGTGCTGGTGAACCGTAGATGAGAATGGATACAAACCCACCTGCAGCTTTGTAGCTCTTGTGTCTGGGTCGGTACAAACGCTCAGGAGGCTTCTCCTCTTCCCACAATCCATTCATTTCCTGCTCCTCCGCCTGCTCAACACCAAAAAGTAAAGTAAAACATACTGCACAGACTCTTTCCTCCTGTCCTTGTACATTGTCTATACAAGTGGTTCCAAATCCTGGTCCTGTAGTGCCGCTTTAGGAAAACACTAAAATGTGCTTCTCCAGGGCATATATTTATGAAACTTCTGAGGGTAAGAATGGTGTTCTGAGGTCAGCTCAAAGCACTGTGCAAAAGCCAGAGGCCAGCTCATATGGAAGGAGAAAGTCGAAGAAAAATAAGTGAACAAACAGGTGTTTCCATAACTGTAGTTGAAAAAAAATGATTAAAAGATTAAAAGTGTTTCTATCTGTGCTTCCACAAAAACAACTCAACACTATGGGTCTGACAGGATGCGTAGCTGTTAAGAAGCCCTTACTGTGAAAAGAAAATGGACAAAAAAGAAGAAAATTTGCACTAGAACACCGAAACTGGACTTCTGAGATGTAGAGTAATATTTTATGGACTGATTAGTCTAAATTTGTAATTGGGATTATGAGAAACACAAAATGCAACCAACTACTACAACAAAACTTTGGAGGTGAGGGAAAATATCCATGCAAATTTCTTTGAAAAACTGAAATCAAGTTTCCTAAAAAGAAAAGAAGCTGTAATAAATGTAAAGTGTAGACATACTACTGAACAAATTGATATCATTGTAATGTTTACTGCTATTAAAGAAGGCACAGCTGTTGCACAAGTTGTTGTGCTTTATTAAAGGCTGCAGTTGGCCACAGCCACACTGTACACAATGAGAATTGTATCTACCAATTCACTCCAAGCCTCGCTGTTTTGGTTCCTCTGCTGCCAGTGTCAGACTGACTAGTACTTTCAAAGCTTTCACAATAAGAGTCTTATAGAATAACAGAGTGAATGAATGTTGAAGAACTAATATTCCAAAATTAACATGCAGAACATTTTGAACATGCTACATTATATTTAGTTGTTGATGCTTCTGTTAAATGTTTTAAGACACAGTAAAATTCCTTTGTTATTTCAAGATTTGGGTCCCTTTGCAGGAGCAGTGTCAGTGTCTGAAATAATGTTTTATAAAGGGAGCAACAAAAGATGGTCATCTCTGAGTCCTGTAGCTGTTTCTTCATCTTATCTTCAGTCCATGATTATGTACAGATGCTCTTGCTATAAATCCACATGAATAGCTTTTCAATAGTTCATTTTTGGGTTAAATACCAGATTGCTGAATCTGAAGCACAGGTCCTAGAACTCGAACTGGCATGCGTAACCCTAGCACTGTGATATTATTCACAGAATTGACCGTTTTGGGTCATTACGATAATAAAACCTCACTCTTACTTACTCTAACAAAGCATACAGAAACTCAGGCATGCACCCCAGCTTGGTAGCACTGTGCACTAGGAGGAGACCCAGCTATCATCTGGAAATCGGCTGAACTAACTAGACTGGGAGGAAAAAAAAACATAAGCATGCACATGCAGTGTTTTGGGGGAAAGCTTGCTGTACTTTCATCCAGAAAACAGATTCTTACAGCAGATCCTTGGTATTCCTCACTGTCTTCACGGTTAGTTGTCGCTGGCTGCATTAAGAGCTCTTGGGGTGATATTGGACTCAGAGCCACGAAGCCACCACTGGTTCTACGGAAGAGCACACAATAAAAAATGTAATAAACATCCAGAACATGAACAAGAACTGAATATGTACAACAAAAATCTCTTTCACAAGTTTCAGTCAGATGTAAATGATATGGAATAATAATTGTTAAATTACTACATAACAAATAACTTCTGCTGATGAATTGTTATTGCACTAGCATATACTAAATGTTGCAACAGCAAAAGTGATAGATGACTCATTTTCTGGCATATAAGGCCAACACAAAGCACATGTACACAATGATGTACACATCATTGTACACAAAGTCAGAGACCACCCTCCATTTACTTAATGTCCAGTCAAAATGAAGATTATGTGGAATTTATTCATTTTCTGGTGTCAGGGAAAGTAGAAGAAACTATTTAATTAACAGAAAATGACACAAAAAGCTCTACATCACCATTTTTTCTAGTATTTATTTTGTCCACTCTTTGCCTTTATTATGGTTTCCATTCATTTCAGGAGACTGGCTTTCAGTTAATTTACTCTTATTATCCCTATCCACAGCACCCGGGGAGCAGTTGGAAGTTGGTTGCCTCGCTCAAGGGCACTTCAGTCCCATGCTGTCGGCTCAGGGGATCAAACTGGCGACCTTCCGGTTACAAGGCTGTTTCCCTAACTTCCAGCCCATGACTGCCCCTATTATCAATAGTCAATGATCCCTAGATACAAACTTCACCTTTCTTCACCGAGGACAGCTCAACAGCTCAGGCGGGATTTGAACCAAGCACCTTCTGATTGTAAGGGAAATGTTTTCATGGTGAGAAACCAGCAGCCATCATAGCAGTTCATCAAAGAAATCTGCTGGGATATATTTCCACACCTCCACAGTTCAGTCAGAAGTTGGCTGCACTTTCTGCTTTTCACGATCCAAGTAGATGATGAGATCCAGACTGAGACCACAGTTTCTCTTCTTTTTTATCTCTTTTCTTTTCTCAGTGAGGGCTTCTTGACAGCTACACATCCTTTCAGACTCATAGTGCTGAGTCGTCTTCTCACAGTGGAAGGATGGACAGAAACACCTGTGGATGTTTTAAGATCTGAATCTTGATTTTCTCCACTCTCTCAAAGAGGAAAGCTTTAAGTGCTGTTTATCTGATGGGGACAGTATTGGTGGTCTACTAGGTCTCGCATATTTGGCCATTTTTTGTTGGAAATTCAATAAATTAAGGGTGGTCTCTAACTTTTGCACAGTAAAGTACAATAAAAGACTACATTTCCTAGGAATAAATTTAAATAGATACTCATTGAGATTATGGATTTAATTTTCACTGCGTTATAGTCTGATAACAATAGTTTCACATTTATTCCATGGTACAGCACTTTCAGCTATAGTTGGGCTATGACTGCATACTTTGTCATTGTTGTGTCGGAATTGCTTTAATTTTGTTTATTCAAGTCTTCTTTAGCTACAGATGTGATACTGACTCCAATAACTTGGACAGCTGCTGTGTTCACTTAGCCCTGGCAATTTTAGTGTTTGTGATTTAATACATGCATCATCTAGCTGTGGAAGCGAGCGCAGTTTGATAGCCAGAACGAGGCCACCTGATGGAGACAGTGTCCTGACCTTGTGTGGGCAGCAGGGTCACGAGTGAGAGGCGGAGATGGCACGCTTACTGCTGGTCTAATGTGGGCATGCTTGAAGCTTCTGCTGCGCTAACATAGCCTTTTCTCAACTCATGATGAAACTCACATACTCCACTCCCCCACACCGGGGAGAGTGGTCTCTCATGCCTTCTGTTAGGTTTGGACTTTATGGTGCTCAGCTCTGAGGTACTGGTTGAAGTATGCACTTTGAGGTGCTCTTAGCTATTGTGCTTTGGGCTACAATAGAGACTCACTTAGCAAGTAGAACCTACCTTCTAAGTATTTAACTGTATAAAGTACTGCTCAGAAGTCAGAGACCACCCTTCATTTATTTAATTTCCAGTTATTAATTTTTTTGCATTAGGAAAAAAGGCAGGAAACGTACTAATAAGAGTAAATGACACAAAAGCCTCAAATATACATATATATATATATATATATATATATATATATATATATATATATATATATATATATGTATATATATATATATATATATATATATATATATATGAGCTTTCTTGTCTGATTTGCAACTGTTATTTTTGTCTATTTCCTTTTCTCAGTGAGGGCTTCTTGACAGCTACACATCGTTTCAGACTCATAGTGCTGAGTTCTCTTCTCACAGTGGAAGGATGGACAGAAACACCTGTGGATGTTTTCAGATCTGAAGCAGCTTGATTTTCTCCTCTCTCTCAAAGATGAAAGCTTTAAGTGCTGTTTGTCTGATGGGGACAGTTTTGGTGGTCTACCATGTCTTGCACAGCTGTTAGGAGTCATTTTCTCTGTACGTTTTTATCGTTTTTTGAACCTCAGTTTAGGAAAGTTCTGTTTTTTTTCACTCATTTCTCTTTGACTCATTTCTCTTTGACTTTCTCCTCCTTATGCAAGTGGATAATTTTATGTCTAATCTCTTTAGAAATATCTGATGAAAAATGAATAACTAGCAGTTAAAGAACTGTGTTGACCTGAAATTAAATAAATGAAGGGTGATCTCAGACTCACACAGTACTGTATATTCAGTGCTTGCTATTGAAGATAATTGTACTGTGTATTAAAGTTGCCTGGCAGATACTTTTCCCTAAAAAAAAAGTAATCAAATTTTACCATGGCTCAGTTTCCAATAGCGCAATGATCATCGCAAAACTGCAGATGGAGTATTAATTTCTGCATGAATTCGAGTTTAGTCTATGGCAGCAAAGATGATTTTTAATGTGTAAGATGGGTTTCAGTGTGTCTCAGTGTTCAGCGTGTAATATTGTAAGACACTGGAAGGTAGACTTACAAGGCTGAGCCTGCACTGTGAGATATTAAAGGAAGAGCGGGGCTGCTTGACTGTAGGAGAGAAGGAGAGAATGAAAGAAAGGGAGATTATTTTTCAATAATATATATATATATATATATATATATATATATATATATATATATATATATATATATATATATATATATATGCATATATATCTTTCAATGCTTGACCTTCTAGAAAAATGCAATACTGTGTATTCACTGGACGTTTTCTCCTGGTATTACTATGTGTTTTTTATTTATTTTAATTTTTTTTGTAAGTGCTATGTGTAATTGTTGTAAAAATGAGATGAGAATTTGATTTGAGAACAACGCCCTCCAGGCTGGACAAATCAATAAGCATACGTTCAATATTCTGGACTAATCAGATGATGTGTTTGAAGTAGAAATGTAACTTGAATTGGGGGCTACACTGTCAGTAATAGTTTGATTCAGAAAAAAGAGTTTCATTACATTACTGTTTCATACCAATTAAAGTCAACCCAACCAAAACAAATATGGACCATTATACCAAATTAGTTCAAACTGCAGTCTCATAATAAAAAAAACTATTTACAAAAATAAACAAAAAACAAAAAAAAAACAGTTAAGCATTCAGACTTTAGATATTTATAAGGATTATGTTATGACCTATTTAAACCTAAGGCATTAATTAAGACCGTAATAAGCAAAATATATACCAAATCATCCTTTATAGAGTACTTTCTATTGGGAAGGATCTTTCCCAAACAGCAACCCCTAAATTTACACTGAAAATAATACTTGCCTTTTTTTCCATTGTCAATAACTGTTCAAAGCTGTTTGCTAGTCATGTACTGGCTAGTGTTTCTGAGTTCTGCTCAAAATGATCTAAAACAGTCACTACTGAAACACTGGGTAAAGTTTGGGTAGTGTTATGATTGTTTTGGTAGTGATAAAATGGAATGTTCAGTCATTTATTTTAATGAATTAAACATAATTAAGGTATACGGTCATTCAAAGCACAAAAATTTTAATCAAAAGTCTATATATATATATATATATATACATATGCCAATATGCCAATATATATATATATATATATATATATATATATATATATATATATATATATATATATATATATATATTGCCATATGAAAACATTTTAAATCTGGTCAGTATATCTAACATTATGAGATTTGTAAGAATATTATCCAACTTATTTCTAGACATTTTTACTTGTTGTAAGTAATTGTAAGTAGTAGTTGTTAATCTAGTGTAGTGTGGTGCAATGAGTAATGGACTGGGGTTTGATTCCCAACCTGGGGAATGTACACCATGCTATAACAATACAAGTCCTTGCAAGACAAATACTGCATTTGTCTGCCTCTGTAAGATGATTAAATTGCAAGTTGCTCTGGATAAGAGTGTTGGCCAAATGCGTAAATGTAGTGAAAGTGTCTTATTCCATTGGCAGATCATTTAGCTTTTTTTACGCATTATTTCTTAAAACAAGAAAAAAAGACACTGTCACAAGCGAGACAAATCAAGGAATACGTTCATCAATCTTATACTCTTCTTACAACAAACTCATAATGAGAAATAGTAGACATATCACCAAATTTGAGATGGTTATTTATCAAAATCAGCTTTTGCATTGAAGCATCTATATTCGTAATTGTTTAATCATAAAGTTCAAACTAAGCATGTGATAAACAGGAGGTTCATTCTAGAACCTACCTGCTCCTCAGCTCGCTGTCTCAGCTTCTTGGCTTTGCTCTGTTTAAAGTAATCCATAATCATCATGGAGGCATAGATTTTACCAACGGTCATGTCTGTGTCTGTAGGAACAAAAACACACAGAGATACAGACAATTTCAATTAGAGGTTCCCTTCTGGATCAGGAAAATGCATCTCACCATAAACAGAAACAGAGACATGCTTTCTTATAGTATAATCGCATGTTTAGGCTAGTGTATGTGTAGAAATCACAGTATGAGATAAAACAGGATTTTTATCTCCTCAGTGCATTAATGCAGCATTGATCTCCAGGTGTGTTCCAACACACTTAAAGGAAATTCTGTTGGTAGACTTTGTTTTTTTTTTCAGTGAAATGAATAAAAAATTAATGTAATGTATGAAAAGCAATAAAAATGAAAGAACGCTCTTTATGGTTATCAGCCTAAGTGATGGGCACCTGAGCTTCACCTTTATTGATAGGCACCAGCAGGTCCAAGGTCTTCTGGGACAGATGTGGCCAGATCACACTGATCTCCTTCTGCAGCTCAGTGTCCAACTGCACCCGGTCTTCTCCACCTGAAAAGGGCAGTAAATGGACTGCAATGTTTCTACCTCCTCAGATATATGTGCACTACAAAGCCTCACACATACAGATATGTACAGATTAATCAATATTCATTATAATCAATATTCAGGCCAAACATTTGGAACAAACTTAAACTTTGAAAAAATAAACATGGTCAGTTAATTTTTTCCCAAACATAAAATGAAATCATTAAAAACTGCCTAATGTTAGGACAGTTGTCAACAAAGAGCGTAAAGACTTTTCCTATGCAATACACATATAACAAGTGCACAACTGCAAAAAAATAAAAGATTCTGAAAAATCTTTTTAGATTAAATGAGATATTAATAAATTATGGCTGTCAAGTGATTAAAAATCATCATTAATTAAATTAAAATAAAATAATTAATCCTGAATAATTACATTATTTTGTGTTGTTATTTGTAATTACTTGCCTTTGTCTTATTTGCACAAGTTTGACACTAAAGAAAGATTTATTTTCCATTTAAAAAGCAGCGCATTTAGTTATAATCATTTGAGTGGACTGAATAATCACAATGTTCTTTAGACTGTATTTATTATAACAATAATTCAATAGCATTACTGTCACTTTGTGAATACAGGGTTCATATGAACCTGCATATGAAATTTTTTTATCACTCTTTTTTTTATCGCTCTGGTTCATACAGCTCGTGGACTGTTGTTACAGTGGTGGCTCTGGAGGGGAAGTGGAGTTTTCCACCTTGCTGTTGCTTTTGTTAGCTTGTTGCTTATTGATTTCTCCACAGGCCTCCCCCAAGCACTGTCCAGCATAGTCAGCTAAAAGTGCTGAAGGTTTTGCTTTAAAAGTCACTGAAAAAGCTGTTTTTGAACAAGAAGGCTACAATCAAATCCATCATAGCAACGTAATTGTCATAAATTCATAAAATCACTGCTTGCTCCCATATTTTGGATTGTATGGTATTTTCATATAGTATACACAGTATTCATATTGTATAGTATATATATATATATATATATATATATATATATATATATATATATATATATATATATATTCAAAACACCTTATTTGAATACTGAACAGTAAAATGAACACTGGGATTAGTTTAAATATCCTTATATATTAGAATATGACCCCCTCCAACTACCCACATCTCCCCCAAAGTTTATTTGAGACCTGTGGGAAACACTGAGCTGATGAGCTCAGGGGAGAGAGCAACTACACTAAGCACATACAACAAACTCTCTCTCTCTCTCTCTCTCTCTCTCTCTCTCTCTCTCTCTCTTTCTCTCTAAAGCACACAGGTTTCTGTCATTTCTAACCTCGAGCGATTTTGATCTCCAGGGCTGTGCGGATCAGTGACATCAGTGTGGAGGTAAAGTGGACGGTCATATCCTCGTCCACAGGCATGTTCATCAGTACCAGTCTCTGTGTGAGACACACACACACACACAAAAACAGCAATCAGAGCAAGAAACAGCTCTAACTATTAAAGCGTTGTTTTAAAGCCAGTCCTGGAAGGCCAAATATTTGAAGTCTGAAGTATAAGTATATGCATTTTTAAATAGAGACATGGCAGCTTAACGTAGTGTAGAAATATCAGAGTGTCTCTCTTACCTTATAGGCAATTTTTGCTGGACATTTCTTCCCAAGTCCAAGAGGGGGCGACATATGTGTTAGCATCTCGTACATGGCAGTGTAATGGATTCGGCCACTAAAGAGCACATGAGAAAAGTTCTGTCAGGTGTAGCTGCCCACAGTGCTCAGCTTTTTTTCACTCATGATGAAATTGTGGTGCAAAACATTGTTTTAATTTATAGAGGACCAGTCAATAGTTTGGACACTCATCAAGTGTTTTTCTTTACTTTACTTACTTTATTTTCCATATTTTAGAATAAATGGGAAAAGCTGCTAACTTTACCATTGATGGTGAAGATGCAGAAGTGGTGGACAGCTTGTATGAATTATTATTATAACAACAAAGAATACATCAGTCAGGAAATGAGACACAGATTGAAAAAGGATGAAGAAGCTTGAAATGATTTGTCTCTACAAATAAAGATCAGAATTTCTGTGAGTCTTTAAGAATCTGAAAGCTGGACAGTAAAAATGTGGGACAGGAAAAATATTGATGCCTTTGAACTTTGAAGATATTTGAGTGTACCTTGGATGACAAAGAAAACAAACTAATTGATTCTTGACCAAATCAAGCCTCACCTCTGAGGTAACCAAACTGAAGCTCCTGTTTTGTATATCATGAGAAGCACCAATTCATTGGAAAAGACTGGTGACTGGAAAAGTTGGTGAGGAGGACGACCAGCAATAAGATGAATGGAAACAACCAGAAGAATCATGAAAAAGCCATTAAAAAGTCTAAAGACCCAAAGACAAGTGAGGATATTCTGGAGAAACACTATCAATATGGTCACCAAGAGTCAGAATCAACTTTACAGCATAATAATGAAGCAATAATCAGAAATAGGAAATCCATCCATCCATCCATCATCTAAACCGCTTATCCTTTTGGGTCGTGGTGGGGTGCTGGAGCTTATCCCAGCTGTCATTGGGCGGAAGGCAGGATACACCCTGGACAGGCCGCCAGTCCATCGGAGGGCAGACAGACAGACATACACAGTCACACACACACTCACACCTAGGGGCAATTCAGCATGTCCAATTGGCCTGAATGCATGTTTTTGGACTGTGGGAGGAAACCCACGCAGACACGGGGAGAAGAGGCAAACTCCACACAGAAAGGTCCTGGTCGCCCGGCCGGGAATCGAACCCAGGCCATTCTTACCCACTGCGCCACCGTGCCGCCAGAATTAGGAAATAACACCTGGAATTATGAAGTGACCCAACAACAAAAGAGGCAACAAAACTATTTTATCCCCTTTTCCTTGATGCAGCTGTACACACTCTTGGTGTTCTCTCAAGCAAGTTTACAAGGAGCCCCCTTAGATGCTTTTCTATCAGACTTTCTGATAGTTAGTTCCACCTACGCTGAGAGCTTGTTGGCTGCTGACTACTATGTATTGCATAGTCCTTCCCAAAATGTTTACATTTTTAAAACAGATTCATACAGATACATCAATTTTTACTTTGTATATCTGTCTTTGAATCAAGTGTAAGAATTTTAAGAATAAGCCTTCAGATCAACTTCCCTTTAAAATGATGCAAAACATATACTCAATCAGCTGCGTCCAAACGTTTGACTAGAATTGTTCATATTTTTGTAATTTTACTATTTTCCATTTCTAGCATCATGATATCAAAGAAATATTGCTTTACAAAATATCTCCCTTCCCACAGTTCAAATAACCATGGCAGCAATGGTTATTAAAAGCTGCAAAAATTGGGGTTCCAACTGTGTCACTGTTGGTGAATCCCATTACGGAGCTTTTTTTGTTCTCTCTTCACGCTGTTCTCTGTAAGCATTCACATTCTTGTTTAAAGGAATCCCCCACAACTACAGGATGTGTTAACGCCCCCATCAGGAGAGCAGGTTAATCTCATTTGGTGTGGAGTGGAGCTGGCAGGTGGTGAGCCCTCACCCGTGATTTCATGCTCTTTCTCTCTCTCTCTCTCTCTCTCTCTCTCTTCCTCCTCCCCCTGTTTCTGAATGAGTGTCCCTCTAATTCTCATTCATCTATTACACATACTACCCATCAAAAGTTTGGGGTCAGCCACCTTTTCAAAGCCATTTTGTAATACATGAGCATGTTTACTCCATTGGTTTGCATTTAATATATTAAATACAAAGCTCTTTAGAAAACTGAAGTGAAAGAAAAACTATAAACAAATTTTATCACATATAGTGTGATGTTAGCGCTCGGCAGCACTCTTCAACTTTTCAGGTGCTTGAGCCTTTTTGGCCAAAAAAGTTTCAATGTGCTATTAACAATAGTTTGGAAGAGAAAACTATCAAATCATTATGTAGACAGAACCTGATCGTCATAACAAGGAAGACACTTTGATGAACATAAAGCTGAGTGTTGAAGCTAAAAATGCACAAAGGAACTGGCAAATCTGTGTTTATGTTAACAAAACCTTTTTTCCTAACAACTAAACAGTAACAGTGAAAAAGAAACATAACTCAAAAACTTCTAGCAAGGCATCCTCAAACTTTTAATGGACACTGTTTACAAAATATCACATGGAGCTGTTCTTCTGGCTTACCATGCTGCTCGATCAAACTCCCCCCAGATCCGGACAAATTCATCCAGATGGTGTGGTCCAAGAATGGAGGAATCCCGCGTCAGATACTCAAAGTTGTCCATGATCACAGCTACGAAGAGATTTAGCATCTGAGGAAGGCAGGAGGATTGGGTCAGAGGTCAGTTTTTTCATGGTGCATTAATGTTGGGCCCCAATACAACAGTACTATGGATACTATAGAATATACTTCCATTATATATATATATATATATATATATATATATATATATATATATATATATATATATATACACGCAAGTGATATTATCAGCATAACAACTTGAATGCAAAGTTGAATTTTGAAATATTTACATGAATTTCAATGTTGTCAGTGTTTTGTGAACAAAGTCACAAATTGCTTAGACCTAGAAACAATGCAGAATCTTGCATTCTTGAATCTCCTTCATTTTACTTTTCATAACCTTTATTTGTTTTAAATTGTCCAAAATATTAAAATAAAAAAGGACCCCCATGGGACCATGAGCAGATATTATTTGGGTGGTGGGTCATTCTCAGCACTGCAGTAGCACTGACTTGGCTGGTGGTGTGTTAGTGGGTGTTGTGCTGGTACGAGTGGATCAGACACAGCAGTGCTGCTGGAGTTTTTAAACACTGTGTCCACTCAATGTCCACTCTATTAGACACTCCTACCTTGTCAGTCCACCTTGTAGATGTAAAGTCAGAGACGATAGCTCATCTGTTGCTGCACAGTTTGTGTTGGTCATCCTCTAGTCCTTCATCAGTGGTCACAGGACGCTGCCCACAGGACGCTGTTAGGTGGATATGTTTGGTTGGTGGACTATTCTCAGTCCAGCAGTGACACTGAAGTGTTTAAAAACTCCAGCAGCTCTGCTGTGTCTGATCCACTCAGACCAGCACAACACACACTAACACACCACCACCACATCAGTGTTACTGCAGTGCTGAGAATGATCCACCACCCAAATAGTACCTGCTCTGTGAGGGTCCTGACTATTGAAGAGGGTGAAAGGGGGCTAACAAAGTATGCAGAGAAACAGACTGCGGCTTGCTAGTTTAGAACTACAAAGTACTTCTTTGTGATAGATGAAGCTGATAAAATGGACACTGAGCGTAGATGCAAGGAGATGTACTTAACGAAGGGCCCAGTGTAAGTACTCCAGTCTTACCAGGAAAGAACTGAAGAAGATGAATGAAACAAAGTAGAAATAGGCAAAGTCAGTGCCACAGCCACCCTCGTGATCAGGAGAGATAAACGGTGGGGCGATGGAAGGGTCAGGCTCACACTCCTGACCCGCCAAACATGACAGCATGATCTCCTGCCAAGACTCCCCTGTTGCACTCCTGACAAAACACAGTTGAATAGCTTCAAGCAATGTGTCAGTAAAAACACAACAACCAAACCTCCGATCAGAGCAAGATTTTGAAATCAGTTAAATATCATATTTCTTATATCGCATGACTTAATATCACATATACACTATATGGCCATAGACAAACACTGGCAGCAGAACTAATCGTACTGAAGAGCTCAGTGACTTTAAAACATAGCCCTGTCATAGGATTCCACCTTTGCCACAAGTGAGTTTGTGAAACCTGTGCCTTGCTAGATCTGCCCCGGTCAACTGTATGCACTATTACTGTGAAATAGAAGCACCTAGGAGCAAAAACAGCTCAGGCACAAAGTGGTAGACCACGCAAACTCACAGAATAGAGCTGATGAGCTCAAGCACCTATACTCTTTTGCATCACTCACTGCATAATTCTAAACTGCCTCTGGAAGCAACACAAGATCAAGAACTTTGTGTTAGGAGCTTCATGAAATGGGTTTCCAAGGCCAAGCAGCTCCATATAAGCCTAAGATCACTATGTGCAATGCCCAGCGTCGTCTGGAGTGGTGTAAAGTATGCTGCCACTGGACTCTAGGGGCAGTGGAAACGTGTTCTCTGGAGTGATGAATCACACTTCACTATCTCTCAGTCTGATGGTCAAATTTGGCGGATGCTAGGAGAGCACTACCTACTGGAAATAACAGTGCCAACAGCAAAGTTTGGTAGAGGGGGGATAATGGTCTAGGGATGTTTTACAGGGTTTGAGCCCCTTATTACCAGTGAAAGGTAATGTTAATACTGCAGCATACAAAGACATTTTAGATAATTATATGCTTCCATGCATGTATAATGCATGACTGTACCCCTGTACACAAAGTGAGCTCCATTCAGGCATGTTTAATGAGCTTGATGACTACAGTGACTTGCACAGTGCCCTGACCTCAACTCCCTTCAACACCCTTGGGATGAATTGAAAGGTCAATTGCGTGCCAGTGCTTCTCATCCAACATTAGTACCTGACTTCACAAATGCTCTTTTGACTGAATGGGCACAAATTCCCTCAGACACACTCCAAACATCTTCCCAGAAGAGTGGAGGCTGTTATAGCCGCAAAGAAGGGATGGGGGGTTAGGTTCATATTAATGCCCATAGCATGAAGGTCAGATGTCCACGTACTTTTGACAATATATTATATTTTCATATATCACATAATAATGACCAGCATCACTGTACAGCTAAAAAGCATAACAGTATACAAAATAGTGTCTTGTCAGTCTTTCCAAGCATTCATAGACATGAACTGCACATGACAGCAGTCTATGTTCATTATTTGTCCATAATTCTCCAATAATTCATGAAACATACAGAAAGTTTTTCCAGATAGCAATCATTTCTCCATTTAAGGAACCTATAGTTACTATAGGAGATTCTATAGTGAGGTTTGATCATTCATAAAGATAATTCATTTTTATATCTGTTTTATTGAACTTTATTTAACTTGACTGTAGTTTCACTTACTTCAAGACATTTGAGATTCTCGCTATACATGTATAAAGTCTGATTTTATATGTCGGCTGGTTAAATTACCTGAAAAGCAGCATCAAGGCGCTGAAAAAGGTCTTGAAGTTGTTGTGTTGGTTTATGTGGCTCTCATCATTCAGCTTAATGTTTCCAAACACCTACAAGTGACCGACAGGGCAAAGCACAGTGCACAGCTCATACATGAAAATGACCATTCAGTTTAAATGATTTTAAGACACACTATACTCAATTGTCTAATTAAGGTCCTCACTTTATTTCATTCTTCCTTTTTATTCTGTGTTTCAAACCTGAGTTTCATCAAAGGAACAATTTGAAAAGGCTATAAACTGTTAAAAGATTATAACTGTTGATATCATATGGTATGACATGTTGGAATGTGGTCTTACCTGCATGCCAATGATGGCGTAGATAAAGAAGAGCATAGCGATGAGCAGACACACGTATGGAAGAGCCTGAGACGAGGAGAGAAAGAGGAAGCGATTTACAGATGTTTACAGAGGATAAACTGATTAACCACCTACACATTCACATTAGAGTAATTGTAGTATTCAGATTTGGAAAACAGCACATCATTAATGCAAGATGCACGCCTTCTTCTTCATTCAGAACATTATGAGTGAGAATAGTGCTGGGATATTTATGTACAATAAGAAACTGAGAATTACTCAGTAAAAATCTAGCTCGTACCTTAAAGGACTGTACGAAGGTCCAGAGAAGGATTCGGATTGTGTAGCCCTGCCTCAAGAGTTTAATAAGCCTGGCTGCACGGAACAGCTTCAGGAAACTCATATTAAAGGTGTTAACAGACTGTAAAAGAAAAAGAACAGAATGAATATGCACAGTGTTATCTCTGCCTTTAAACTTAACAGACTCAATCTGTCTGTTTTCTAGGAAAGTGATCTGGGTCACTGTTTGGTCAACTTTTTTTGCAAGCAGCAAACATCATTGCAAGCCACAAAAAGTTTGTTTTCTCCAATATCGGTCTTTTGTAGCTCATCTATCATTGACTATAATCTGATTTATAGATCCAAATGGGCCATTATGACTGTACTCCACAAGACTTCATCTGCCATGGCTATTTAGTTACTACTACAGATGTTCTCCTGTGGATTTAATGTGAAAAAGTACAGAACAGGTGAAAGAGCACCTAAATACTTCTCTAAAAAATGGATTACTGATCTAAAAAGTGATGTTAAGTGAACATAACGTGCAAATATAATTGTTTGATCCTCACCTGTAAATCTACAATGATCTCAGAAATGCTGCCCAGCACAGTGATGAAGTCAAAGATGTTCCACGTGTCTCTGAAATAGTTCTGTGAGAAGAGAATGAGATCATAAATCTGTTAAATGTGTATCTTTTTGCATTATATAGCTGGATTAGATATTCATTATGTCGAATGTAAATCATTTTAACATCTAATGGCTTTTTGTAGACATTAAAAATGAGCTAATGGCCAGTATGTGAAATTCCAAAATATCCAAGCAAAAATAGTGACCTTCCTAGTTTTATGAGTTGCTTGTATCTTTGCTGAGTTTTGGCACAGCAGTTCTTTTTGTTAAAGGGGCATTCTGGCCTAAAACTAGCATTAAATATATGGTTTTTGTCATGTTAAACAGTATTCTTTAGGAGGTTAGGGAGCCAGCCTTGTGACCGGAAGGTCGCTGGTTCAATCCCCTCAGCAAACAGTATGTGACTGAAGTGCCCTTGAGCAAGGCACCTAACCCCCAACTGCTCCCCAGGTGATGTGGATAGGGCTGCCCACTGCTCCAGGCAAGTGTGCTCACTGCCCCTAGTGGGTGTGTGTTCACTAGTGTGTATGTGGTGTTTCACTGCAAGGATGGGTTAAATGTGGAGTAGACATTTCCCTGTTGTGGGACTAATAAGGGTCAATTAATCTTAAGCATTGCATTTCTCAGCCTAACTGGTTTGACAGAATTCACATTTTTGTATTCTTTTGTGTTTTCGTTCATCAATGTTTACTCACTACAATACCCAGAATGCATTACACCCAGAATCGCTTGTATTTTTCCAAAAGTTCCTCCCACCTTCAAGATCATCAGAAAGGGTTTTTCCTTCTCTTTTAACCAGAACATCTCACGCTAGATAGAGTACTGTGACACCACTGCAAGACATGAGCAAGCATGTTTACAACAGATGTAACAATGGGTCACATATGCATTTTGGCCCAAGTGCCTCTTTAACAGCTAGTTAATTAAGCTCATCCCCATGAATTTATAGAATTTGAGATTTTTTTTCAGGACAAAAAGTCAGTGAGTTTATGTTTTGTGATTTTTGCAGGCATCAGTGAGTTTATGCTGAGAGGACGACACTGACATGTTGGCAAATAATCTTCTGCTTCTCCAGCTTGTCATGCGGTAAATGCAGGCAGACATTATTGGCATGATGTGGGTTCTTTTTGTTTGTTTTGTTTTTTTTTGCTGGGAGAAATTTACGCAAGTAGATCACCTCCCCCGCTGCTTTTAATGGGAGCCAAGGGACCCGAGCATATCAGCTTCCAAAACGTAAAAAATAAATATTTATCTTAAAACGTCTAGCCTCCAGTGCAGAGGCACATGCTTCCAGAGATTTAACACATGGTGGAAAACAAATCTTTATTTAAGAATAAGACCTAAATTTAGCTTTTCGTTGGTGTTACATCTGAGTCTTTTACTCTGATGTAGGTCAGTTGGCCCCTCCCAGTTCGTCATCGCAAGAGAACAGTTTGGTGAAATATTAAATTTACAAAAAGTCTCCGTTACCTAAAACGCAGTTCATCAGACGTGTTTATTGGAGGTGTCTGAAGTTTGTTCTTTAGTTTTGTACTGGAGCTACAAGGCTAAGGCAGCTAACAGGAAATGGAGTTGTTAAGTAATCTGAAATAAACTTGCTTATGTGGTTTGTAACACTGTATTATTGTACTGTTATCAATAAAATGGATAAAATTACACCATTTAGCTAAAAAAAACAGTAGTAGCAGAAATTCTAGAGCCTGAATTTTGATACTTACTCAATTGCAGCATTCAGATAGAATAAGCAATCAATGCATTAAACTGCATTAAACTGTGTTATTTAATGTGGCTAAAACAGGGGTGCTCAATCCTGGTCCTGGAGATCTACCACCCTGCAGAGTTCAGCTCCATCTCTAATCAAAACACCTGATCCAAGTAATGAAGGTCTTCAGCAGCATCTGAGTTTTAGAGCCAGGTGTCTCAGATCTGAACTCTCCAGGTTGGCATCGCCAGGACCAGGACTGGGCACCCCTGGGCTAAAGATGAAGCAAACTTTATAACTTATAAATCCCAACTTAATCTAACTCACCTGTTCCAAACAACCAATGTCTAGAGAAGCATTTACACCAGGGTTCAACTCTGACCATGGAGGTCCAGTTTCCAACACAGTTTGGTGATTTCTCTGCTCAAACACATCTGTTTCAACTCATAAGTTAATCGTTAAGTTTGGTGGGAGTGTTTGAACAAGGGAAATACCAAGGTGTGCTGGACACCAACCCTGTAGGACAGCAAAATCTGATAGATTAGGATGTGAAACTGCACTAAAATCAGGAGCAGCACATTGTTTTGTGGTCTACTCACTATGAGGCCAAAGGCCATGATCTTCAGGATGCACTCCAGCGAGAAGAGCACGGTGAAGGCTGTGTTTAAGTGCTTCAGCACTGTGTCATAGGCCGCTGGGGCAGAATGGTACTACAGCAAACCAGAAAGGATTACGTACAATTGATTAGTTACTGTTGTAGCATAGCTACAGCTCTAGAGAATAACTCTTGCTCCATTAATAATGTAAAACCATTTAATACTACTTTAGGCCAAAGTTGGCCTGTGAGGATGTTTGATTTTGCCCACCACAAGTTACCCTAACCCCACTTCCTCACCCAATGAGAGAACATATTTTATACTTTATATAAATGATCAAATTCTTATTGTTTTCTAAAAGGAAATTTAATTTGTAGATAATTATTTAAATATAATCTCAAAACATAAATAAATACATTTTTAAATACACAATACAATAACAAAATGTGGACCAGGGGTCAGCAACATGCAGCTCCGGAGCTACATACAGCTCTTTTTCTGCCCTGTCGTGGCTCCACAGCAGAATTAGATGTTTAGGTAAAAATAAAATAATCCTCTTTTGCAGTAAAATAAAGCTCTGCTGATCATTCTAACACAGTTTTAACACTAAATAAAGTTAATGTAGCTTCTAATCTGCTAATTCACCAACCTTTAACCTTGAAGGTTGGCACACAGACTGCATTTTTCCTGTTCCACTGGGAAAATTCAAACATGAAGCTGGCGAATGAAAAGCTGACTTCAGCCTCATAAAAAGTCGAATGTTGAGAGACATTTTGCAAGAAACTATTCTACCTTTTCGGCAGAGTGTCCTGCCGGAGATGTGAGAAAAGTGGCTATAGCTGAGCTAAAGCTTAAAGCAGAGTGAAGTAAGTCTGTGTTTTTGTTTATAGGCTATTATATGTTTTATCCTATACTAGCACATTAGCACAAACTGAGACATATTTATTGCCAAGATGTTAAAATGGACATAAAATGTTGTGGTTCCTAGGACAAAATGGCTCTTCTTAACATTTGGGTTGCCGACCCCTGATATAGACTAATGTTCTAAAATACATTTAAAAACCCTTTTTGAACCCTACCTGCCCTATTTATGTACATTGTTGCACCATAAACATTGCACTTTGGTCCCTCAAGGCTAAAAAGTTTCGACACCCCAGCTTTAGATCGTTTGTTACAGTAGACATACTAAGTTATTAAAGGTAAAAGAACAAACTATAAATTCAATTTTGGTGCAGTAGACGCTCTCTAACATGCTTTTATGTGTAAAAAAAATGATCACAATGCTTTACAAGCAACCAATGTGGCTCCTATGGTAAAACAATTCAACAGAATACCATAAAATTTGCAGAATATCTTTCTGAAAAGACACAGTTACCTTCATCATGAGGACCACAGTGTTGAGTGCGATCATGACCAGAACTGTGTACTCAAACGATGGTGAAACCACAAAGTGCCAGAGTCGGTACTGGAGGGTCTGCCTGTTCTGGGGCATGTATCGAGTGAAAGGCTTTGCACTGATAGCAAAGTCTATGCAGGCTCTCTGAAACAGTGACAGAGGAAATTACATGAGGAGAAAGAACAAAAAACCTGGACTGGAATATTTCACAAATGTGTTTGTCCATCTTAAATGGTGACAATACACAGGTTTAAAGGAGAAAAACTAATGCTGAAGTGGCTCACCATGAATAAAAGGTGGCAGGGACCTTTTAGAACGATCCCATTTTTACATTACAGTTTTATAGCACACCTACTTTCATTCAGCAGTTAGCAATGTTAAGAATTTTGGACATTCTTGTAAATTTCAGCTGACCATTTCCTATCAGTAGCCTAATGTAGAGTCCAGTCCTGCTCCTGTAGCACAGTAGAACCACTACAGCTTCCTTGCCAGTCTTAGTTCCAAATACTCCAATCCAATGCTTGCTCTAATATACAGACATTTCTTTATAAGCTGAACAATAGTGTGTTAGGTTTGGAACTAAATTGTGCGAGCAGCAGGACTTGGAACTGTGTTAGGCCTCCCTGCCTTAATGAGTTTGGAACAGAGACTAACCTCATTTTTCTCCAAGCTGCACTCCTCCATCATTTTGTCCCCTTGCTCCTGGAACGTGATGATGATAAGAGCGACAAAGATGTTCACAAAGAAAAAGGGGAAGACTACAAAATACACAACGTAGAAGACAGACATCTCCATGCGGTTGCCTCGACTCGGGCCGTGGTCTTCCTCAGTCACGTCTACTGAGTGTTGAAGAACTCTGAAGAGCAAAAGAAGCAGGACATGACATCCGTTAAAGATTTTTCAGTAGTCTGTGCTCATGTTATAACACTGTCGGGTGGGTATATTCCAGTACAGATTATTGATTCCCTGTTGAAAATGTAATTTATCACTCAATCCATAGGATTACTATGTGCAACATATTGCCCTGACATGCCCTTGTTGTTGTCTGTTTTCCCTCTTGTTTATGTTCTCCCTTGTGTCTCTTCCATGTGCATCTGTTTCTGCTTTGGTTTTCCTATTTCTACCCCCTCCTCTCTCCCCTGTCTAGTCTCTCCATGTGCATTTGTTTGTTTCCCTGCTCCTCCCCAGCTCTGTCCCTTCATCATGCCTTGCACCTGTGTCCTGTCTCAAAGTATATCCAGGTGTGCCTCATTCAGTTTCTCCAGTATTTATACACCTTTTGTTTGTCCTGTGCTTTGCCTAGCTTGGTACGTTCCTTGTTGGTTTCTAGCCATAGTTTCTAACCCAAACCCTGTTCATTTGCATTTTCTTTTATAGTTACTTTTATGTTTTCCTAAAAGTTTCCTGTTGTAGTTGTTTTAGTTCAGTGTGTTTGGTTCTGCTTACCATAGATCAAATAAAGAAACTGACCATAGAGATGAACACAAGCAAGAAAATTACTGTGAGTGTGGGTTTTAAGGTAATCCTGCCAGTAATCACCATATTTTCAAATGTATCTGGACCTGATTATTGTCTTTTTTGGGTAACGGTAATGGAATTATCCAGTTTCTTCTATTCTGATTATGTAACGCCATTACATGTATTTAGTTAAAACCCAATCCTGTGTTCTAATGAGTACTTAGGTGTTTATGATTAATTTAATCTTGTATCAATCCATTACATAGAAATAATTACATATTGCTATTGTTTTTAAAAAAAGTAATTTATTTCATTTTGTTTGCATAAATTAAAAGCCGTCTGTCAGCTTAATTCCCTGTTGGCATTTTGTAGATCTGAGAGAAAAAAAAAGAATAATCAGCTCCCAACATCTTGAAGGTTCAAGATAATTAGACCAAAATGGCAGAGAGCCCAGAAGTTTTTCTCCTCTGCTGAAAAGTTGCTGCTTTGGTGAGTGGGCGGAGAGAGAGAGTACGTACTGCGGCCAGCCCTCTCCGGTGGACACAGTGAAGAGCGTGAGCAGCGCCCACATAACGTTATCATAGTGGAACTCGTGCCTCTTCCACTCTCTCTTCTTCACCTCCTTCCTGTCCCGTCCGTAATCAATGTAGTAGCCTCTGGACGCAGGAAGGGTCAGGACAGTATTATGACTAATTAATTACAAAAATATTCTTGAAATGTGATATTATTGAAACATAATTATTGGTTTTGGCAAGGATGGCAAAAAATTACCATGAATAAAATGTCTTTGTGGTTAATTAGCTGAATCTCACACTGACAAAATCAGCAAAATCTAACTTTTAATTGAAGCAAATCAAACCTAAGAAAAGAAAAACTCTTATCAAAACTCTTCCTGAAACCACATGCCACAATTATTGGCACTCCTAGAAACTCTTATGAACAAAATGTAACTGAAGCACGTTCCCATTTATATTTCACTTTTTAAGTCCACCTGAGTGTTCAGGAACTCCTAAACAGTCATCTATGACTTCCTGTTTCACTGGGGTCTATATATGAGGTGACATAGTAACCGGATTGCCTTAGTCATACACATATCTACTGTTAAAAAAACAATTAAAAAGTTTAAGCAAGAGCTGTGGTGAACCTTCCTAGAAGAGGACATGCGTGTAATTTACCCACACACAGCGAGGAGAATGGTTAGAGAGGCAAACACTCTCCAAGGATTGTGGTTGGCAATTTTCAGAAGATGGTAGCATTTTGGACTCACCAAGTCTCCAACACTATAATTAAATGCCACCTCAATGCCAAAAACCTATGTGGAAGACATGCCAGAGAAAAGAATTTTCTTTCATCCAACCACAATTATAAGCACCTGGAGTTTACTAGATGCTACTGGACTGCAACCAGGTTCAGTGGTCAAATCAAGGTGCGTTTAGAGTAAAATGGTTGCTTATACAGAAAAGAACCTAATCTCCACTGTTAATTATGGCAGAAGATCTGCAATGTTTTGGGGCTGTCTTTTCTCCGAAGGTCTCGGGAACCTAGTTAGAATCTATGGCATCACGTACAGGACATACCAGGAGATTTTAAATGAAAGGTTTTGCTGCCTCTGACAAAAACTCATGGTTGGCTCTCCCAGGAGGACAATGATCCAAAACATACATCCAAATCTACATAAAAATGGTTCTCTGACCTCAGCTTTCGGTACGGCCATCCCAGTCCCCTGAATTAAACCTCGTAGAAAGTCTAAAAGACAATCTAAAAGAGACGATCTTAATCAGGTAGCACAAAGTACTAAATATCAATGATTGTGACATGTAATTGTTTAAAATAAGGTTTTTGTTTACTTAGACTAAAATTACTTCAATTAAATGTTAGAGTTCCCTCATATTTGACCCATATGACCTTTTTTTACCCATCTTTACCAAGGTTGCCAATAATTATGAAGCTGACTGTATATGTTTGTGTATTTGCTAATTTGTTACATTATGTTTTCTATAGACAATATGATAAATAGATGCACTCACTGGCATTCTCTCTGAGTGCCCATGGACCCGTCTGTACAGTAGAAGAACTTCCCTTTGAACAGCTGCACTGCTATGACAGCGAAGATGAACATGAAGAGCTTGTAGACGATGAGGATGTTGAAGACGTTCTTCAGCGAAGTCACCACACAATCAAATACAGCCTGTGTGCACACAAATTCATTTTCATATTCTAATACACACATATTATATTATATTATATTATATTATATTATATTATATTCAGTGAACGCAAATTGTTGGTATAAGTCAAACATTTCTATCTTTGGAAAATGAATGAGTTGATATCTTCCTAAAAACATTTTCTCTGGGCCCCTGCTGAGAAACAGTCAGAATCCCTGCTGTTAAATTCAAGGCCTGAAGAACACGGCCTTTTATGAAAGTATGAAAATTGCCAAAACACAGAACTGAACCCAATTGGCTGAGGAATGATCAGTGGCAGAAGGAAACTTGTACCTTCAGCTTTGGGAGCCGTTTGATGGTCTTCAAAGGCCGGAGAACTCTCAGGACTCGCAGTGACTTAATAGTTTTGATGTCTCTGCCTTTGTTGTTTCTGTGATTAATCACATCTATATTAGTCTGATTTAAAAAGGACGTAAAACACAAACATGGAATGCACACTAAACTTGCAGACATAATACTCACCCACTATAAAATACAAGCAGCAAAGAAAGGATGTGTATAGAGTTATAACCTAGAGGGCACATCTTCATCACTGTGAGTTTTACAGTGGCAACGTCAGTGTAGATCCAATACTGACACTATACCACGAAAACTAGCCTTCAGGCTAATAAGTAGGTTGTTTCCAAAATTCACTCTTCAGTTAAACATTTTGTTGAGATGTAAACTCAAGTCATTCTGACTGTTTTGATGTGAAATGATTTATTGCAAAGAAACTCTCTGACTCAGAGAGTTGATGGCAACAGTGAAAACTCAATTTTCCGTACTTTAAGACCTTAGAGCGGTGGTCTCCAACCCTGGTCCCAGAGAGCTATGTTCCTGCAGAGTTTAGTTCCAATCTGCATTTAAAATGCCACCCTCCCCTCACCTAACGCTGATGCAGCTGATCCAGCCAATCAGGGACTTCTGAAAATAAGCTGGAGCAGGTGTGGAAAACTGTAGTTGGAATTAGACACTGCAGGACAGCAGATGTCCAAGACCACTCCAGGACTGCCTCACCATGCTTATAGATGCATGGAAGACAAGCATTAAGACTGTTCTCGGTCCTGCTACCCAGTTGGTGAAATGAACTTCCAGAGGCTGTTCAAACAGCAGAGCCCCTCACCATCTTCAAAGCTGTCTGTAGACCCATCTCTTTATGAAGCACTCAAATGAACACTAATCTAGCACTTGGATTGTATTTACGCTGTGTCATATTTCTGAATTTTGTATCGTTCTAGTAATCAACACTGAATTTTCTTTCTGGAAGTGTCTGAGCTCAAGCGTATTTTGGACTCTAACCTATTTGTACTTGCTGGGATACATTCTGTGAGTGAATAACAAAGCACTTTTGTAAGTCACTTTGGATAAGAGTGTCTGCTAAATGCCATCAATGTAAATGTACAGTGGTGGTGATAAGAACCAGTGGTTGTGAACACAATTATAGCCATTCAATTTGTTATCCCAAATGACCAATGGACCTTGCTTTCATATGTAAAGTTGATAATGGTAAAATGTTAAATCTGATATATCTTAATTTCAAAATATATCTTACATCAGGCAGTATTTTCATGAACAATGTGCCTAGCAGCTTTCTGTGAGGATTCTTTTAGAGGCATTAAACACTTCAGACGTCTGGTTCCTATCACCACCACTGTGAACAATTCTCAGTCAGCAAGCTCCTCTAGAATGGCTCAGTTCACATCAAACTGCTCTGCATGACTATTTACCTTGAGTAAGTAATGCCTGCATTTTTTAAAATTGGACGGTGGAATTCCTCTTTAACAGACCTGACCTGAAGAGGGCAGTAACCCAACAATAGTGGCATTCCACCTGTTCGCCAAATGAAATGATGAAATTAAAACAGCTTTTAAAATGGAAAAATGTGTCACTGAAAAGAAAAGAGGTGTCCCCACTCTGGATTATAACTCAATGATCTGACTTACAACGGAAAGTAATAAACGATTTAAAGCACAAATTATATAAACTAGAGCACTGTTTGCTACATTGTCAATCCACCACTGCTGAACACTGAATACAGTAAAGAGTCACTGACAAAACACGACACAAACACTACACCCACGAAAGTTACTGACATAAATAATGTATGTATGTAAACGATATGAAGAATGAGAAACGTCTGCCTTTACCCCATAACATTCCTGGTAGCCACAATGACACAGTCCACAGAGATAACAGAGAAAGAGAGGCAGGAAGAGAAGGACAGCAGAGGAAGATTTACAGCAAGAGTGAGATTAAAAACAGAGAGAGTGCACTTCCACACAAAGCAATATTTAGATTGCTTTTCCTAAGGAAATAAAAAGCAATAATTGATTAATTTACTGTACTGCATGAATTAAAGAACACTTTGAATAAAAAAAAACAATGAACAATTATGTGCACTGACATTATATCTTTTATATATATATATATATATATATATATTATATATATATATTTTTTTTTACTCAATTGGCTAGGTCTCCCCAGCCACATGATGATCACACTTCTGTATCTTTTTCAAACTGCCACTACCAGTCATCAGACAGTTCAACACGCTCAGAGGAGAACACTAACTGCCAATCCTGTTACATCAGTTAACAGATGTCCACGTGGGCTAGCATTGTGCTGAGTGATGTGGGGAGAGGAAGGGTCATTCTACCTGCCCAGAGAGGGCAAGACCAACTGTGTTTCTCAGCTATGGCATCCCCAAGGGTCAAGCTTGCGATCTCTTGACGACAGGGCCAGCTCTTTGCTGTGCCAGTGAGGAGTCCACCCATTTATTTATATAAATACTTTTAATTTTTTAAAATAATATTTTGATCTAACATGCGATATATACATTCATTCCATCAGTCACTTAGTAGCATTAAGTTAAAACAACGGGACCTGTGATATAATCTGCTTCCTTTGCCACTCATCTGAGAGAAGGTGCCTAATATATTTGTTTGAGGGATCAGAAGCATCTTCAAGGACTGACAATACACCTCAGATCAGTGGTGAATCGTCTTCAAGTCCAGCTGCTTTGACTCAGAGCAGCTAGGCCTGCTGCCCATTTCAACACCATTTTAACAAGGCCTCGTCCACTTAGCCACATTTTTTCCCTGTTTGAGGAATCCTCGGCGCCATCTTAAGGCCCATACCATCAATTTATTTGCTCAAGTGAAGGACGGTAGATCCCTCGGAGGGGCGAGGAACAGGGTGAACAGAAGAGTCAACTTCAGCAGCAGAACTTGCCTAGAAACTACTGCGAACTAAACTACTTTAAAGTGCTTAAAATCATTAAATTCAATTTGCTGGGCTTTAAATTGTAAATGTTTCTATCTGTTATACATGACTGTTGACCCAACCTTTTCACTTTACTCTGCTAGCATGCTAGTTAGCATGCTAAAGGCTACATAGCATACAACAATACGATAACAAAAAGAAACCACTATACCTCAGATTTACACCAAGTTTATAGCAGAACAAAACAATTATTGACACATTTTTGGACATTTAAATAAAAAAAGGTTTTGCATTGCAAAGTTTGTATGGCTACTTGAGTAGCTCACTGTGGCTAACTTGCTGAGGACACTGTACCTTCTACTATCACATAGCCACTTGGGTGATGTAGGTTTGATGCACATCTGAGTGGTGAGTTAAAGTTGTTGAAATTGGGCCCTCGTGACCGGCAGCCTTGACTTTATTTAAGATGATTTCAATTGTCAAGATAAACTTTTTGCAGTGTTGGTACATCATCATCTTCCACACCATCTACAATATTTTAAGTCTAATTTGTGTTGGACTTTCCTGGCTGTATTTCCAGTATATGGAAATGCATAATGTACTGAAATCTGGGATGTAAACTTTTCAGGGTCAGTATTAATACAGTAACTACATAGCTAAACCTGTAGGAAAAAGGCATTCACACTTCAGAAGACACTTACGTGAGAGCAAAGGCAATAAGAGCTCCAACCACCACAATAAAATCCAGAATGTTCCACAAGTCCCGGAAGTATGAGCCGTCATGCAGAATTAGGCCTTGGTCAATCATCTATTAATGTACAGTCAAAAAAACGTAATTAATTGATATGATTTCATGCCGCAATATTCTTGAATGAGAAAAATAGTTCATATTCTAAAACTGGTACCTTTATAATCATTTCAAATGTAAAGACACCTGTGAAAACATAATCAAAGTAGCGGAGAACCTGCAAAAAACAAGAAAATGTGACGATTAAATCAGATTCAAACGCAGCTTGAACGCAGTGTCCTCTGTTGCTTAATTTCTATAAATATTTAAGATGCTAGAACAGCAGTGCCCAACCAGCAGATCTCAGTCATGATGAGTATGATTCATCAAATAGGATGTGCATAGCAAAGCAAAACAGGTCAGCTCTGATAAATTCACTGACAGTTCAATTTAACTGCGAGAAAAAGTGCGTGAGCGAACATGAGTGAAGCGAAGCAATTGAAAACTTTCCATTACCACATTGTAACGGAAAAGAAGCAAGAACATTCTGTATTTCTATGTACAGTTCTATGTTCCCAAGGATCTGTATTTCCAGTGTTTATGGACAGGCTGATTCTTAATAGATTGCCTTAAAACACACTCTGGTTGTACATTTTAGTGAAGAAGAATGAGAATCTTTTCAGTGATAGGCAAGAATTACATGTTTTTACTGAAAAAAAAAAAAAAACTTTCTCATTCCCCTAACTTCTAGGTATTAACTGAATGAAACCTTATCTGCGCTGTAAAAGAAGACAATGATTCTTACTCTTTTCCTAACCATTTAAAAAAATCTCAATACTTTGTACTGCCAATTTACTTTCCTGTTCAAACGTTCAAGTGAAATTTAGTGTGAGTCTTTGTACTGCCTACTTTATTACTTCAAAGTGAGTCAAAATGAATGCCTAGAAATCTTTGCAATCTGACACAACACCTACGTTGTCTATTTGTCCTTTAAGCTAAGAGTTACACAACTGACAATAATTAAAAATGATTTAGCAAACAAAGGCATACAAAGCTAGCAACAAACAAGAACAGAGCACTATACTTACACCAGGCAGAACAATTATTCGCAAAATGTATGTATGCTACACACTGACTACCTCGCATAGTCAGTTTGGCCAGGCCAGCCTCAGGCCAGCCTCAGGCCAGCCTAGCTGAAGCAAGCGCCCTCCTATTGTTATACCCTGTATGATCTTTGTTGACCCCAGAACCTTAACCATGCCTTAGGATATGTATTCTTTAATCTATTATACTGACATATGATGTGTAATGTATAGAGAGGAGGGAATGTAATTCTCTCAGAGTAGTGCCTTAGAAAAAGCACTCTGGGAATATGGGGCTCTGGAAAAATAGGGCCCTGTCAACACTGGACCCAGAGAACATACAGCCATAGGAACATAGGACCCTGGGAACATATGGCCCTAGACACACAGGACCCTGGGAAAATATAGCCCTAGCAACATAGGGACCTGGGAATACATGCCCCTAGCAACGTAGGATCAGGAGAACATACAGCTCTAGGAACACAGAACACTGGGAACATGTGACCATTGGAATATACTGCCCGTGAGCACAGGGCCCTGAGAATATAGGTATTCTCTCCTGCAATGCTATGCTGCAGACTACACAAAAAGGAACTGCTAAACCAGTTCAGAAGTATCCACAATATACACATGATGTGAACTTTTCTGCCAAAGTAAAATGCAGAAAATTGGAAGAGCCAGCAGCACAGCAGAGGGTTTTCACAAGACCTGATGCAAAAGAAAAACTAGCAACAATCACATTGTTCTGTGTCAGCCATGTCCGGACTAATAAAATGATGAAAGCCATGGCAACAACTGAAACAAAGAGGGAGTGCTGGGAGCTGCTATTAAAGACATCCTAACATAAGATGATGTGCCTTTTACTTGTCTGCCTGGTTTGTATCAACTTATTTGTGTGAGTCTGAATTTTCTCACATGAAAAAAGTCAAGTCAGAGTCCAGATCTACTATGACAGATGAACATCTTGAAGCCTGCCTGAGTCAGCTGCTAATGCCTTGACTATGAAAAACAAGCTGGATTTTGGGGGCAGTGATTACTTTAAGGAAGGACCTTCTTTATTTAATTGGAAAACATTATCTGTTCACTGTAGCATGAATTTCTTCTAGTGCTGTTCTTATAGTGCTGATACCCTGGTACCCTTGAATTCCAGATGACACTATATATATAGCTCAAAGCTACAAAGTGTGTGTTAAAAATGAAGAAGAAATTAAAATGGGAGTCAGACTGTTTGCTACTCCATTTTCCTTAATTTTCATATAATAGCTGTTAGTGAAGTATATGTCAAAGCCTAAGTATGTGTCTTAGCCCTTTGAAGATAGGGCCCTGGGAACATACGATCCTAGGAACATATGGCCCTAGGCCCATGGGCCCCAGGCACATAGTTTAGTACAGGGGTCTTTAATTAAAATTCAATAAGGTCCAGTTAGAGAAAATTTCCTCAAGCAAAGGTCCGGAAAATCATAATTTCTAACTTGTATTATGATTCAGTGCCGTACACTGTATACTGAAGTACCCTAGTAGGTATATCAATATCTTATACAGTCAACAACTGATTTTTAAATCAAATAAAGTCCAATTCAGTCATATTTCAACAACATTTAATGTCAGTTTTCTCTGTTTAGAGCACGACACGTGAAATAACCTCCCTTCCACCTCATCCCTTCCCTGTGTGTGCGTCACTCGAATCTCGGTGCTCATCGTAATGCACAGATCTGATTGGCCGAGTAGCATCACGTGTGATATTTACAACACGCGCGATTGGTCAGTGAGTTTCCCAGGCCGCTAAAGCCGTACCGTAAAGGCTAGAAAAGTTACGCCGATTAAAATAGGACCACCCCGTCGAAATTAAATAATTCTCCATAGTATATCAGTTATAGGTCCAGGTCCACATAGGACAGCGTCTGGGTCCGGACTTGAATTACGGTCCGCCTATTAGTGACCTCTGGTTTAGTGCCTACTATGGACAGTGGTGTGGCCAGAACCTTTTCAATGAGGCAGCCTAGCTAGACTCAGTGATTTTATAACATCAAACTTAAAGAGCACTTATTCATGTTCATCTGTACAGGAACAGTTATTATTGAACCGCACCAAACATACAGCACATTATTCTGTACATAATTTCCACATTACTGCTGAAAATAAGCAAAAAAGAACAAGAATAACATTAACGTTTTGGCCAGGACTGATTTGTCTGTTTACCAAGCAGAGTAGCCTATCACAGCAAGACATGGTAACTGAGTGCAGCATCTTCAGTGCTTGATAACTTCCCTGATGGCAGATTTTCACCACAACGCATAACTGTCCATTAATGAAAGCTGACTGCCCCACTTTGTTTAACTGGCCACCTCTTGGCTACACCTACAGCTTGTTTGAGGGACAAACTCAACTGGACACTCGTATAGACAAATGACAAGACAATCATCTGAGCAGTATCTGATTGGAAGCAATGGTTGCAGAACTCAAGGTGTCTGTTACAGAGGCTAGTATCCTGGTAGATCAAGCTCAATTATATGTTGCATTAAAATGATTGGGCACTCCTTTACTAGGAAAATAGACTGAAAAATAGAATGGCAGAGATTCAGTCTTCCACTGGCTAGTCCAGGTGAAAAGCATTTTAAGGCGAAATGTCTCACCCGGTTGCGCTCGGAGTTGGTGCATACAGGATCCTCGGCAGCCAGTGCAATGCTGCTAGCCACAATCACAAGAAGAATGGTCATCTCGAAATACCGCAGGGTTACCACATAGTGGCATATCCTTCGAATCCTACACATGGAAACCATGCAGTCAAATATCTGAGACATCGTCCCTCGCTATGTCTTCTCTGTGCAATTCTGCCTCCAATGTGAGAACAGCAGTTAGCAAAATGGATGTGCTGTTGAGTTGAAATGAATATTTTAAAGTATGCCCTTTCCATTGAAACCATGCCAACTTACGGGTTTTTGCTTTTAAAGATGAACATGCTGTCTGGTGGAACAGTTGGGACAGCTTTTGTTGGCTCATCTTCATCCTCATCATCGTCATCTTGGTGCTCTGACTTTTCTGAATGACCCGCTTCCACGTCCTTGAAACTGACTACAATACATCTCAGGGTTAAGCCATGGATGACCAGTTACGCCAGTGTGAAGTGAACATACAACATGCAATATTTCCTCCATAATCTTTGACGCCATGAGAACACCACGCTAAGCTCAGTAAATCAGGTAAAAAGTGCGTCAGAAAGCACAGGGGACTAAGGATTACGTCTCCATTGCAGACCAATAGCTATTTACATCTGCATCTAAATCAAATTATGGTGTCATGGTTAATATTATAACATAAACGCTGGATCATTAAAGTCATCAGAGAAATGTCTGCCATTAATGCACACACATTACTTGGAGCAGTGACAGTAAAATGCGAAGGCCCTAGACTGGAGCCTTCATCGCCTTTCAAATTACCAGTCATTGGTGTCAACTCCAACAGAGGCTGTGCCGACATCTCTCGGATAATGCTAGTTTCCGTCAGTGGTTCCCCCTGGTTTAAATAGCTGGCATTGTTCTCGTTGTCAATGGCTTCCTCTGAGAGGTAATCAAGCTCCGCTGTATTGTCTGCTCGGTGATGCGGGCAGGTTGGGGTCTCTCCCTCCTCACCGAGCCCTGTGCAGGTACAGGGCAGGCCAGACTCTCGCTCTGCTGGGTCAGACGACTGCGAGACCGTGGCAACATCGCAGGTACCGTCCCTGAAACAAAGCATCGTGGGTGTGAAAATGTCGCCGTGAGACAGAGTGAATAAAAGCGAATGGCGCGACCTGCTGTGATAGTGGGTTACCTGCTACAACAGCCCTCAAATTATGTCGGCACACATACAGGGGATTTCTATAAATAATTTGAAACAATGTGCATGCAGGTATGCTTAAACGGAGCATACTATGCAATTCAGCTTGAGGCAGCAGCCTAAAGATTTCACTTTAATGTAGAATGGAGAGGAAAATTTTCTCTGTAAATGTAAGAGACTTGTATAACCATTTTAAAAGTCTTTTTAATTACTTTTGTCCCAGTTATATGAATAAAACACTATAGCTTCACCATACCATTCATTACAGTAGCAGAGTTATATTTCGTTAGCTACGCTTCCATCCAAAGGATCTTTTTACAACAAGTGTTTTAGCGCTTTTGGTTTAACAAAGTTTGTCGATGTAGGCTGTGAGAACAAAACTTTTTTTCATTAAAACTTAAGTGGAAAAAGCAAAAACCTGCACTGGAAACTTTTTTGGGGGGAAAAGTATGCATAAATCGAATGTGATGTGACAGATTTCCTTCACGTGCCTCTTACAACAAACACAAGCCAACACAAATAGCATGGCGGAGAGGAAGAGTTGGACTGAGACTGAGACAAGAGTGTTTTTAAAAGGAATGGTGACATTTTTCAGCTCCTACCAACAAAGAATATGACCACAAAATGGTTCAGATGAGAAAATTACAATCATAGTAAAATATAAAAATAGAATGCACTAAACAAAATTTCCTTATCAGCAGGTTATACACAAAATTACAGATGGCAACATGTCAAAAACAACTTTTATATCAGTAGACTGAATCTTATGGGACAATAGTATTCTTTTCAGTAAACTACACCATTACATAAAGCATTTTATTGCTAACAGTCAGTTTAATAGGAATAAGCTGCTGGGTAGAAAACAATTACACATTTTTATTCATTTTAATTTTATCAAATTTGCACAGGAAATCAATGAAAACTTTCTAGGTTTTGAAATGACTTAATGAAGTCCAACAATGTGTGGAAATAACACTCACTGGCTGGAGTGGTTTGTTGTATAAGGACTGTACTCCTTCTGTTGATGCACAATTTGTGTTACCCATCTTCTAGGCCTTTCTGACCACTGAAACTACTATTGGCCAGATATTTTTAGGTGGTGGACCATTCTGAACCTAGCAGCGATACTGTAATGTGTTAAAACGTAAAAAACACCCTTTTGATACTCATACCAACGCCACACACATTATCATGCAAATAACATGCCAGTGGGCCTCATTCACCAATCGTTCTTAAAAAAGAAATGTCTTCTTAAAACTCACTTATGCAGTTTTTACAAAGATTCTGACCTTCACCAATGTTTTCTGACTTGAGACTTGTTCTTAGGTAAGAATGGATTCCACATACACTCAAGAGTTCAAAGGTGAGAACAGTTCTGCGGCTTAAGAACACGTCATGAATCTAAACATTTTCTAAGGACCTTTCACAAAAACAAATTCAAGAAAAACCTCTTGAAGTTTTTGGTATCTGGGAGCTAGTATAAAGCAATAATATGGACCTTTGGGGTCTCCCTGAGGACAGAATTGGGAACTGCTGCCCTCAGTCCTAGAGAATGCCCTGCAAAGTTTCAAGTAGTGATGCACCAAAATGAGAATTGTGGTCTAATCTCGATATCCAATATTTCTCAGGTATATATCTGATGATACCAATGCCAATACTAATAGATAAACATTTATAAAGTGGAGAAACTAGGACATCATCAAATATCAGTTTAAAACACTGGACAAATCTAAACATCTGTCCAATGCTGAAATTCAATTTAAAGCAAATATTTGCCGATACCAATATGATTCCAAGCCATTGTGGATCCCTAGTTACAATTAGTCCTGGTCGCAGTACGTCTGATAACACTCATCAGCTAATTCATGAATTCATCATTTGGATCACGTGTGTTGGGTCAGAGAATACTTGAAACTTTTCCAAACAGAAGGTAAGTTCCCAAGAGTAGAGTTGAGAACCGCTGCTGTAAACATTATTTATTAGGAAGGTTTACCTTTGTTGCTCGTCCTCAAGCTCGGTTTGCTGGTTGGGCATGATTGGCTCATTCTCGTCCATGCTTCTCCTCGACTGCAAGGCCTCTGCATCATCTCCTCCTTCAGTAAACTGTTCCTCTCCACTGCCACACGGCTGAGAGGTGTCTGTGCTTCTGGACTCTGATCTGGACTCCCGGTGCCTGTGCCTTCGATGCCTCCCTCCTTGGACGACCCCTGCAGCTGCAGCCGCCCGAAACTTTCGGGCCACACGGTGCCTCCTCTCAGTGTTGGAGCGATGAGGCACGGGCCTCTCCTCTGCTCCAGAGCCCACGAGGGGCGGCGGCTCAGACTCCGGGGGTTCTGGGAGGGGAATCGATATGGACATGGGTGGTTCCGGCAAAGGTATGACCACTGACATAGGTGACTCAGGCAGATGTGCTGGGCTGGTCTCAGGGGACACGGAGGACATTGTGTGCGGCTGGCTAACTGGGGTGTCCGTAGGGTCCTCAGTGGGGCTGCCGAACAGCACCTCACGACTGGCCATCTGGCGCCGTTTGCGCAGCTGTTTGGCCCGCTGCTCCCACACAGACATCTTCATCTTGTTACGTCTCTCGCGACGGTTGGCGAAGGCATTGACCGGCTGCTCCTCAGGGTCCGGTCTTCCAGGCGCTTCCTCCTCTGCCTCAGCAGGCGTCGGCCGGCCCCTGTGGATGGCCCTCTTCCTGTACAAGTATGGCCTGCGCCTCCTTCTGCTCATGCAAAACAAAACTCAGTCACAAAAAGAAATGGTCTGATCTCAAAGCAGTCCTCACAATTACAGTAGCATTCAGGAGGGGTGTGTTTTGATCAAATCTGAGAAATCAGAGGTTTAAAACAATGGTTATTGGTTTAGGTTGAGAAATTCACAACAGCAGAAAAAAGAGCATTCAAGTGGGGGGAACAAAGGATAAAATAAAAAAAAAACCCTAGAAAAAAATCTTTAAGTAGATGAAAAATACAAAAGCTGAAAACAGAAACAGGAAGTGTTAAAGGTTCACGTGTGTTGGATAGCGAAGTAAATGAGACAAAAGATGAAGGTGAAGGATGAAGGTGGAACAGGTAAAAAGGGGTATAGAGAGACGGCGTTACTCACATTCATACGAATTCTTTTGTTGTCCATGTGATCAAATGAATGATTGGTTGGAAATAAGCCATTAGTGTATTTGTACAGCAGACAGACAAAACAATTTTGACAAAGACCAAAACAAGATCACTAAAGATGGCCAAAATAGATAGGACGGATTTGTCTTATCTTATATATTGCTAATCCTGAAGAATGAGACTGTGGTTGACACATTATACATATTTTACAGCTACAGCATTTACTATAATGGCAAAGTAAATTCAAAATAAAAAGTAACATTGGTCTACTACTGTGCGCTAACTAATCACAGTGGCGTCAGCCTCACAATTAAGAAAAACAGGTGTGTTTCTGAACCACCTTAGCAGATGGCACTATTGCCTGTTGTCTATGTGGATTTCAGTTGGGCCAGGCAGACATTTGTGTGTCTGAACCAACTGTTTTCCTATTGGATTTTGGCTTGGATTTCTGAAAAACCCAATGATACAGCCAGACTGCAGGACTTAATCCAATCCAGAAGCCAAAATCCAATAGGATCTCTTTTGAGGAAATGGTGCCTAAATGTCAGTGCACTTTCTCTCACACAGCATGCACTTTTTCTGCACATTCTCACTGCTTTTGGCACATTGCCGTGCCCTCTGTATTGCTTTCAAATGCCAGGCTCCACTGAGTAATTCTCAATTGCACTGGGCCTCATTCTTAACCCTGTGGGACCCCTACAGTGCACAGTTCCGTATTTTACTTAGTTATTCTAATTCACCTGACTTGACTTACGGGTAATTATGAAGCCCTCTGTGAGTCAAATCAGGCATGTTAGAGCAGGGAAAGCCTTACACTATGTTGTTAAGGAATCTTTCAGGATAGGAATTTAGAATCGCTGCCAATGGCAGATGTGCTGAGCGAGCCACTACGCGAGAATGTATTGCATTGTATGAAACTTTAGTTCTTGTTTGCACAAACCTCACATTTGCCAATGCAGATTTAGTGGATACTTTCTGCCATCTGCTGTGGGCTGCATAAATCAGGCAAACCCAGAAATAAAACTTGTATTGCTACTGCAAGGCACCTTGCACAAGATAAACGGGCAATGTAGTCAGCAGTGGACAAGCGACTGGTCGGTAAGCCCTGGAAAAGGGCCATGCTGCATTAAATAATATATCTTGCAGCAACTTTGTTTTTAATGAGACTTGGCACGCTGTTACCGAAATGGCAGAATTGGCAGTAGCTGTGTAAACAGAAAATCTTTAGTGATAATGTGAAATCTGAATCCTAGTAGTTTAGCATCAGTGATGATTTGGTCTTTGTCACTCCACAACCATAAATTGACAAGACAATACGATGAAAGCATCATCAAATTCTGATCATACGCTCTTCACGTTTTGGTGAGCATACCAGGCAAGGTTTAAACTGGAAGCTCCAGTCAGTGTTGGTCTCTGGGGTTTCATCATACAAGATGCACATCGATTTTTCTTTTTCGATGCCTGGTTAGTTATCTTACTCCTTTCCATGAGCCAGTTTATATTTAAACTATGGTGTAAACTGAAGAATATTTGAGCTATGACGATTTTGTCAAATCCTCCGAGTTGCAAGTTGCAAGAAAAGAAGCAAAACAAGCATGCGAGAGAGCAAGCAGACAGACATGCAAGGTTTGGTTGAGAAGTCAGGCTTGGCAGGCCAGTAAATGTGGAATAACTCTTAATAACCTTCTCTTTCATGACATCTGACCTGTTTCTAGCATACATACAGTCAACGTTTGTAGTTGAAACGTGCATATTAGGTTGTGTCTAATTCAGTTTCAGAAGAAATACCTTTTTTTTCTATGTACCTACACACTTTGACTTCAGGTCAAATCTCAGCTAAACCTTTAACCCATTTGTTCCCACTGATTTGAGTTTGTAAAGCTCTAAATGACTTTGTTGTTTTCTACTGAATAACAATCTAGGAGTTAAATTATAGGTTGTCTTGATCTCATATGAAAACATATACGTGGGTTGATGGGTACTTGGTCACATGACCAGGGCCTTCAATGCTCATTATTGTGCCGTGGGGGAAAACACATTGTGTACATTCACTGTTGATAATCCTGTCAACTGTTTTTTTTTTCATGTACAATACTGCAAAAATCTAAGACTTACTTAACTTATCCAATCGAAATGGCCATTAAGTAAAAGTTTTTCCTTTTCAGGTGATATATCTGAGGAGATTAGGTTGTATATGGAAAAGGAAGGTCATAGGAAGAGAAAAATTTCCAAAACAGGAGTTCAAAAAATTATTAAAAGACACAGAGAAAATAAGACCACTAATAACCACACAAGACTTTGTAGCCCTAAATTGTCACCAGCAGATAAAAAGAAGTTAAAACCTTTGTCTTCGAGAGATTTTAAAACAGAAATTAAAGTAAATTTGCATAAAAAGAAGCTGCTGGAGCTCACAGAACATTGGACCCAAGAATCTAGACTTCAGCATCACTGAGTGGGTTTGGGATCACGTGGATCATTAGAAAATGCAACCAACTTCTAAGACTGAACTTTGAAGGTGTGGAAAAATATCCCTACAGATTTCTGTGAAAACATAAACCAAGTCTCATGAAAAGAATGAAAGTTGTAAAATAAGGCAAATAATGGACATACTAAATACTGAAAAAATGTTGTTATATTTATTTGTTGAGGCTTTTGTGTCATTTTCTGTTAAATATATGTTTTCAACATTCTTCCATGAAGCTGAAAAATGAGTAATGTCAATTTAATGGCCATTTGGAGTGGAAATGAAATAAATGATGGGCGGTCTCTGACTTTTGCACAGTACGCTACAAGTCATATATTTAATTATATTTTCACAAACTTTAAAATATTGTCTTAAAAGCCATATAGTTTTTCTCATACGGCTGTCCAAGGATAGCAATTCTGTTTTTGCACAGCTGAGAAAAGTTTGGGAATAAATGGGTTAAGTTTTAATAAGTTGCTGAATAGAGCACAGAACCTGAACTGTCGTTTGATTAAACTCCTTTAATTTCTTGAATATGTTAAATTACAGTCTAAAACTCTCTGGATTTGTCATTTTTTGCATTCAAGTTACTCTTAAAAGGCAACCTGGTCAAACTTTTTTTTGATATATCAATAACATTTAAACATCCACAATTAAACACTTTGGATCACAGCTGCAAGTTTCCTATCACAAATTGCAAGTGGTAGTCAAGGCTAGATGTTTCTGTATTAAGAAGGACTTAAACATTAGTACACTTACAGAACTAGCTATGCAAGACTAGTCACTACAAGCAATACTCTGAACATAAGACATTTGCAACTTAACAGTGTTCCTAAAAATGGATCGTGTTTTCTCCAGTATTAGGAACCTTTTCTATGGAAGAAAATGGAAAACACACAGGTCTGTATTAGACATTCATTACTTTACTCTATTTAGTGTCTGTGACTGACATCCATGCTTTTATGTTTTGTTGCTTTGCAAAGAGCAGACCTAAGACTCACTCCAAAAACGACAGACAAATGGTACATTAATAAATGGCACTAGGCTGTATGTGGTGAGTCAGAGTACCAACGTTTTGATTCGAGAGGACACCTTGAAGCACAAGAAAGCTTTTGGAAACAGTGCACCCTCTTAGTATCCTAGTATTCACCAGCTAGCAATTCCTAACAGTTTTAATGGCATGCACTTCAAATTCAAAAGCAGGTTCTCAAAAATTAATCTATCGGCTGAAGTAAATGCAGGACAGTGGGCATAAACTTACTGATGGGACTGGCAACACTTACTCTGAAAGGCCAAACTCCCGGCCCTTGTATCGCTGGTTAAAAAACTCCTCTTCCTCCTCTTCATCCTGAGAACACATGAACACTTCAGTATTAATTGTTTCAGTTTATTTAGATTTATGTAAATAATATTGCAGCAATGCACTATTTTGGAATACATACAGTATGTCCTCCCGATTTTACCTGTACCTTGGTTAATTCCTGGGCATTGGCAAGATTATCAACAGCGATGGCCAAGAATACATTGAGCAATGTGTCTGTTCAAACTACTGTCAGGGAATATGTTACACAAACCATATGAATTTAAAGAGATTTTAAGCTGAAATATGAGAAAATTGCCCAATTTTGTAATTTGCTGCATATTTTGCCACAGTTTTGGAAACTGTTACTAATATAAATTAGTAAAATGTTTTACTATAAGAATGAACTACAATGGAATTAATAGCCATTCGTTTTAAACTTGACTGTGATCATACAATAAAGTGTTTTAAAGCAACTGTAGGAAGCAATTAAAATGCTTTCACAATTCATTTTGAACAAATTTAAAGGATACAGTTCCCAAACAGTGTCAGCACAATGAAATAAATGGAGGACCACATGCCATACTGTACTCCTCCCTGCGAACGAATCCCATTATACATCACCTCATTCCAGTCTTCACCTGTCAGAATCTGCAGTTTAAAAAAAAACACACATTTGATAACAAAAAAAAAATACAGACAGACAAATTAACCAAGATGTAATGAAATGCGTTACATATAATCTGAATTCATTGGATACAAACCTGAAAGACAGTCATGATAGCAGCTGGGAATGTGTCAAAGTTGGCAGGGGTGTAATCTTTAAAGATGAACCTAAAAGATGAATTAAAACAGTAATCAAACCTGAAATAAAGCAATATACAACACAAACAAATGCACAAGGTCACACCACATGCAACAGACATGCTGAAGCCCATCTGTATCACTCATCAGATTCAACTCCAGTGCATTCAGAATTACCAACAGCTAAACTCCCTTCACAACTAAACAAAGTATTTTTATAAACATTAGAAATAAATTATAGTAGTGAAAAGAAGATTAGCTGTAAACAGAGGATCTCTTTGTTCTTCTGAATGCTTTGATGAATCATAGTGCACTCGCTCAGAGATGTGATGTGAACTTCTAGACATTAACAGATGTAGTATGTGATGTTTATGTAGAATAAAAAATGGTGATATAATATCAGGATAAGTAGTGGATTTTGGGTTGTTTTTCAATCAAAATCAATCACTGATGCTTCGCCACACCTCTAGCTACAGTTACAGGGAGTACATCCTGCTGGTTGTTATGATGTGTGAACCATGTCTATATGTTAAACCGTTCCTGTGTAATGAAGCCTAGAATTAGCCACGCCAACAATCTGCAAAATACAGGCTTCAGCTTCTGTAGGTGAAATCAGAACATCAGCACATTTACCTCCCACCGAAGAGCTGCATCCCAAGCAGAGCGAAAACGACAATAAAGAGGAAGAGCAGGAAGAGGAGGCTGATGATGGACTTCATGGAGCTCATCAGAGACACTACCAAGTTCCTCAAGGATGCCCAGTACCTGGCAAAGTGGAGCAAAATGAACTAAGCCAAAGGCAAATACGCACAATACTTAAGAGTAATAAAACTACTGCATAGACATATTTAGATTTGCTATCAGCGTCCAACAACTTACCTGGTTATCTTAAAGATTCTTAACAGTCGTAAAGCTCTAAGGACGCTGATTCCAAAAGACATTTGAGGCCTAAAAAATCCCCAAACCACTTCAAAAATACTGCCGACGATCACCTGTGCAAGAGATATGAGAGGAGTAAAATGACATAAACATCACTGGTACTCACACGCAAGCATGGTCACTTAATACATGATAAATGTAAAAGAAGAACTAATAACTTAAGTGGAATACTATGTCAAAACATATGTAAGTAAACCTATAATATTGACTCTGTCTTAAAGGTTACAGTGTATAGGATAACATCAACTGGCCATAAAAAAACATACTGCAATGTTTTTAGTTCCCAAATACTAAAATATCCAAAACAGCCACACTAAAAATGGACAGAGACTGCAGGCTACAGACTCTCCAAGCATGAAAAAAACCCAGTGGGCTGTTTTGTATATAAGAGTAGCAATCTTCTCTTGACCTGAGCACAAAGTGACTCAGATATAGATGTCCAGAAGAGCTAAAGCTCAAACATACCGCACAGTCGAAGCAGTTGAAGGAGGAGTGGAAGTAGAGGCGGAAGCCAAGGCCATACATCTTCAAAAACATCTCAGCAAGAAAGAGTCCCAGAAACACGAACTCTGCATAGTCTGCCCAGGGATTGAAGACATTGTCATTGTCACTAGATGATTACGCACCTAAGTTTATGCATTTTTGCTTACCTACTGCAATAAAATCGCTTGCTAAGTAATCACAAAAATTTTTATTGCCCCAAATTTTTTGATTCAGCTCTTCCTGGTACCTGACAGGCACAGATGCCTAACAGATTATTTAGACTTCATTTTGGGGCCTAAATGGAGGTATGACTTCCACTAAAGGCCACAGTGCTGTGAAAAAGCATTTGGCCCCTCCTAATTTATTCTGTTTTTGCATATTTGTCCCTCTAATTGTTTCACATTTTCAAAGAAAATTTAATACAAGACAGACAATTAACACACAGTTTTGAATGACCATTTCATTTACTGAAGGAAAAAAGTTACTCAAACAGCCAATTAACCAAATTGTGTCGATAATTGGGATCAATCAAACTAGACACACAGGCTTGATTATTGTCAGTGCTGTTGAATCTAAACATCACTTAAACAGAACCTTTCCAGCAATGTGAAGTAGGCTAAGAAATCTCAACAAACAGCGCCATAGGCAATATAAGGTTCTTGAAAATACAGCATGTTATAAAGCCATTTCTAAGGCTCTGATATTCCAATAAGAGCCGTTATCTCCAAATGAAGAAAACTTGGAACCATAATGAATCTTCCCAAACTACCAATTTTTTCAAGAGCACAGTGATGAGAACCCAGATAAACATCTAAGGAACTGCAGGCCTTGCTTGCCTCAGATAAGGTCAGGGTTGGTAATTCTGCTATTAAAAGAGATTAGGCAAAAATGGTATTCATGGGAGAGCTACAAGACTAAAGCCACTGCTATCCAAAAGGAACATAAAGGCTTGTCTCACATTTGCCAAAAACACCTTGAGGTGTTAAAGACAGGTCCTGTTACATGTGGCGTAAAGGTAACACAGCATTTAACAATAAGAGCTCCATACCAATAATGAAACATGGTGGTGGTAGTGTGATAGTGTGGAAATGCTTTGCTGTTTCAGAGCCTGGGCGACTTGTCAATACAGACTGAACCATGAATTCTGCTTTCTACCATCAGTCTGGGATCAGAAGCTCAAGCACAAATGGGTTATGCAGCAAGACAAAAGATCTGAAGCAAAAAAGCAAGTCCATCGCTGAATGGCCTAGCCAAAGTCCTCACTCGAACCTCATAGAGATGCCATGGCAGGACCTTAAACTGACAGTTCATGCTCAAAAGCCCTCCAGTTTGGTAGAATTAAAGCAATTCTGCAAAGAAGAGTGGGCCAAAAGTCCTCCACAGTGATTTTACACAAGTATACACTTCACGGATTGCTTGAAGGAAACAACCACAAGACTTTGTTAATTATGTTAATATTAATTTTATTTGGAAGAAATTTTACTTTATACTGAAATTATGCCCTTATTATAGTACTACTGTCCTCAAACCTGACAATGATGTCACAGTCGAGTAGCTAATCAGTTTTTCCATGACAATCACTGAGCATCTGAATATCAAAGAGATGCTAAGGTCAGGAACGGAGCATCTCTTTGATATTATACTCCCTTTCAAGTCCTGCATTTATCTGACCATACTCTGGTCTTCATTTATATTCTGGCCTTAAGTCTGCATTACTTGATGATTCATGACAGTGGGAGTCATGCATTAGTTAGCATCATATCTTTCTTAATCTCTAACATGCAAACAGGCTCAATTCAGAACAAGAATGGGAGCAGACACAACATTAGTTAGACCAAAGTGAGCCCCCTGAAACCCCTCCTGGTTCTTACACTGAAGGATGGTTAGCCATTCAGGCTGGTTGTGGTGGACGATGGCCACACAGATGGTGTTGAGGGCCACCAGACTGAGCACTATCCAGTAGAAGCTGTCTGTCTTGACCATGCGGCGGATGGAGAAGCGCAGCATGCGCTCTTTACGCCTCAGGTAGGCGGCTGGACCCCGTCTTCCGCTGCGGAAGTTTACAGGTGGCCGTGGACCACCTGGGACACAAAGGAAAAGGCACAAAGTTATAATCAAACCAGCAGTGTCGTTCAGTGGAGCATAAGAGAAAAGACACTAATATACGTGTAATATTAATATACAAAAGTAAAGTACTGACAAACATGTCACTGTTTCTTCAAAATAATGATTAATGAATTAGCGAATTAGTTCAAACTGTGTTTCAGTTAAAAAAATTATTTAAAAAAAATTAAAAACAGTATTAAGTCAATTTACAGGCATTACTTATTGAGATAGTAATAAGCTAAATATATGCAATATCATCATTTGTAGGGTATTTTCTACTGGGAGGTGTCTGTCCCAAAAAAATGTTCAATATTGTACTTTAAAAAGTGAAGTTGAAAGATTTTAAAAAGTCTCAGGACCTCAAAATTGACTTTGAGTTTAATTCTTAAATTAAAAAGCAAAAGTGTTTTCAAAAGTGCTGTCTCACATTTCCATGTCACTACAGAAGACAAAGAGTTTTTGGTTCCAGATTTTTCCTCTAAGCCTCCTGATTTTATGATGTCAATGTGTTTGTTCAACCGTTTCCAAACATGTCCTCATGGCAGGAGTAGACTTTGTAGTTATTATACAACACTTGGTTTGGCTGAATCAATAATTCATTAAATTAAATCAGCTGTGCTGGTGGTGAATTTGAACAAATCCATGGGTTGGCTGGAGGAGTTGAGGAGAAATTCTGAACCAAACTTTGTTTTTTTAACCAGCTCATAAAAAACTAACTTCTTTTTTTGAAAACAAGAATTTAATGTTACATTATACTACATTAATATTTGCATATATTCTAGTGTTTTACAAGCAAAAAGACACAAATTGCTGTGATTTTAAACTATTTGCTAAAGTACCTAAGACTTTCTCACAGTACACTCTCTATATAGACACTTGATCTTCCAAGGTTTCTTTTCAAGTCAAGGGTATTAATAGGGAGTTTTTGCGCCTGCAGTAACAGCCTCTGATTCACTGCCTGATTGATTAATTCATTCATTTATCCATTTATCCATATTATTGCTTCATTGATTCATTTGCTGGGGCTTTACCTACCTCTAGCTGACATTTGGCACTGGGCATGGTGACAATAGACTCCAGTGTGTCCCATTTTATTGATCAGTGCTTTTCAGTGCTTTGCTATGAGGATTATCATCGCTGCCCAAAGAAAAACATGTATCTCCGTTTTTGCCAGTTTTTAGTTTTCTGCATCATTTGAGCTTGGTGGCTGTTTTTTATGATGATGATGATAAAATCTCATGATGAATGGACCCGTATACCTGTAATAAGATATCTTTACACTGACTTACATTAAAAGTAAAGAATGTTCTTTGAACAGCGACATTATACAAACTGTGTGCGTGTGTGCAGCTGAACCCCCGTGTCAGCAATGCGTGCACCTTAAAGTAAGTGGATTCACTAATTACAAGGGGTGTCTGGATACTTATGGATATATAGTGTTTAACCTGTGCCAGTGTTAATAAGTTAACAATGCTGCAACAGTATCTGTAATACATAATCACAATGGCTTTTGTTTATCTTTTAGCAGACCATGGCAATCTGTCTGCACTACTTCAAAACCCTGCAGGCGAACTGCAATGTCTCATTAGAGCTCTGTGTTACACTGTCAATGCTAAAGCTGCAGGCATTATAGCCCCTTTTCTGCTGATTTATAAAGCACACACTGTTTGATAAGTACAGCACTGACAGCCAGGGAGAGAGAACATATGGACAGAGTGAAAGTGGTGTCACTAACCAACTGTTGAGATTTCAGAATATTTATCCTCTCCTCGACGTCTCGCGTTCTTCTTGCTCGTAGCTCGTTTCAACACTAGATAAGAGAAAGCATTATATTATTGCATATTGCTAAAATATATCCAATGTTTAAAAAGAGTAAATATGTTGAAATTGCGTCTGTTTCACATCTTATTGGTGAGGAAGCGTTTTTACTGTTTTTACTGTTTTATTTTGCAGCAAAGGCCAAAAGCAGCGGTCAAGCAAAAGCCCAACACATCAGACAGCATGTAAATAAGTGAAAAGAAATGTTGCCGTGGTAACAGAAATGACTATCCAAGGCAGGCAGTGAGAGTGAACATCATATGTGCCTTTACGAGGCGTATCCACCTACAGCGAGACTAAAGACCCTGCTGGAAAATGTACAAGGAGTAATATGTCAGAAGTAATACATCTACGGGGCTTCTGCACAAACGACAGAGCTGTTTGACACTGTGACCCCCCTGGCACTAATCTAATCCACTGTGATGCTTTAAAAATGGATGCAGTCATGTATAAGATGCATATAACCTGTATACGTCTAAGCCTGATCCAAGCGTTAGTGAGTCGGTAACGAATACTTTAAGAAGAGGAAGGTCACGCCAGTTAGGAGAACCTTTCAAGGAACAAATATAGCAGCAACCAACAGGAAAAACATATAGGCGCTCTGGGGCCAAAGTGCTTCACCGTTCACTGGAAAGAAATCATACCATCTAATGCAGACCTTCCAGAGTTTTTGTTCTCCTCTGCAAGCATCACCTCCTCTGTGGATACAGAAAAGAACACACAGGTGTTTTTTTCTTTCAGTACAAACAATATAAAATTATCATAAACCATTTCATTTTGAATATTTGCAGTGAATAGTGTCAAACACAGATGTCAAATGGCCTTTTCAATTTATACACACATGGATAATTGTTTGTGTGTGGTCCACCATTTTAAGCTGTTTAAAGTTCTCTGGCGCCTTTGCCATATTTTGTACTGTAGAAAACAATGACTACACCAAGCGTGGTGTCTCACACACACACACACACACATATGCACACACTCTTGCACACTCCAGTCAGTGAGTCAGGCTCACCTTTTTGCTAACCCTTTACTGCGTGGGCGAGCGAGTTTGCTGTGCAGCTCGTACAGCGCAGCAGCTTCACACAGCCATTCTGCTCCACACACTGCCACGCTCACCTGCACTCTCTCAGCTCAGGTAGTGGGAGTGCAGGCTGGGGGAGGGACAGCACCCGTTTGTGTGTGTGGGGGCTCTGAGCTAAATCTTTTAGCAGGACCAGGATATACACAATTAATCTGAACTCCCACTAACAAGAAAGACAGAGCACTCACTGTTATGGGGATTAGTAGATTGAGTGATTGATTAATTGATTAATTAATTGATTGAATGATGGATTAACTCAATTAGTGACAGGCTGATTGACTGTTTATTTGATTGCTTGCATAAGTGATTGATTAATTGCTCTTGTGATCGATTGACTGATTGATTCATTGATTGGCCAACTTATTTAATTAATGAAATAAATTAGTGATGTACTTAGTTAGTTTTAATTTAATTGTTGATTGATTGATTGATTGATTGATTGAGTTACTGAGTTACTGAGTTACTGAGTTACTAAATTTACTGGTTGTTTGGTTATTTGGTTGCTTCGTTGGTTGGTTGGTTGATTAGTTGATTTGTTGGTTGATTGAATATTTGACTAATTGTTTAATAAACTGGTTGATTGATTGATGAATTACCCATTTGAGTGACTGACTGATTGATTGATTGATTGATTGATTGAGAATAGACAGCTGATATTTTATGCACAACACAGCTACAATGACTGAATCATAACACAAATAAAACAAATAAATACCTTTAATCAATTAGTTAAAATAGAAGAAACTGAATGTGGTTGGGATTAATTGAATTGTGAGAAGCAGAATTTTAAACTATAATGCATAATCTAACTTCAAATCCAGTCATTCCAGTGGATGATCTCTGATGTTTAAACCACTCTCAGACATTAGTGTCTGTGTTCAACCAAATCCCTCAGCAGACGTTTACAACAGAAGGTCAGCAATCCAGGTCTTCTCTGTGCTTCTTTCTATGCAGCAACCTCCTTATCCTGCAAGTAGCCTTCTCACTTTCAGTCATGACGAAGTCAGCGAGGGCATCTTAAAACCAGGGCAAGACTCAAAAGGCAAACTCATGCTCCTCTGGGCTGCATGTGAAGAGGATTCAGAACAGCAGGCAGCCTTTTGAATGGGGTAGATATGTAACGTTTAGAGTGAGTTAACATGTTTTCAGTACCAGCTCGGTCGATCCAGGCACGGTAGCCGTTGAGTTCCCTCTCCACCTGCTGCTGCCGCCTGAGCTTCATGAAGGCTCGCCGGTTCTCCACCCTCTCTCTCTCTTTAGCAAACTCACTGTGGAGAATAGAGGACACATCGGACAGCATGACACACAGACAATTTGAAAAAACAAGCATGTTAGGACAGTTTAATGATGGGTTACTATTACTGGACTTGTACTCTGTCATGTTTTGCATTCTATGTTGTTCACATGGGGAAACCCATGACCTCTCTTTCTGGATACTATGAGGATTTCAAAAATACAACATGTCCCTGATTTAGATCCACTTTAACTTGTCACATTGTTTGTTCAAACACATTAACAAGGACAGGCATTCCACTAATTAACTTTTAATGAGTCACACAGTAATTAGATGATGTAATCATCTATTTTTCCAGTGTTCTAATGTTCTAAATGCAAAATACTTGGTTGAAGGACATTTCAAAATATATATATTTTTAAAATAGGACTTTTATTTTGGAAATAAATGTACACATAGGCATCAGTGCCACTGTTCACATTTGTCTTGGAAACAAAGATCAAGCATCTAAGCATAAGCCTTTTGATGATGTGTATTAGGATTACAAAAATCATACATTCAGTGAGGTACAGTAGTGTGCAAAAGTCAGAGACCACTCTTCATTTATTTAATTTCCATATCATCCACTTGCATTAAGGAAAGGGAAGTCAAAGGAAAATAAGTTAAAAAAGCAGGAGTTTCCAAAACTGAAGTTCAAAATGCTGAAAATATATAGAGAAAATTAGTGTGCAACACCTGGTAGACCTATCCATTGACCTATCCAACCGAAAATCCTTTCCAGCACTGTTTTTTATATATATACATACATATATATATATATATACATATATATATATATACACACCACTCCAGGCAAGTGTGCTCACTGCCCCCTAATGTGTGCGCTCACTAGTGTGCATGTGAACACACTTGCCCGGAGCAGTGGGCAGCCCTATCCACAGCACCCAGGGAGGAGTTGGGGTTTAGGTGCCTTGTTCAAGGGCACTTCAGTCACGAATTGTCGGCTGAGGGGATCAAATTGGCAGTCTTCTGGTCACAAGGCTGGTTCCCTAACCTCCAGCCCAAGACTGCCCCCCAACATATACATATACATATATATATATATATATATATATATATATATATGTGCAAACACAGTTGGCTAATCGTTCTGATTCTGAGAGAGAGGAGAAAATCAAGTTGCTTCAGATCTGAAAAAATCCACAGGTGTTTCTGTCCATCCTTCCACTGTGAGAAGACAACTCAACACTATGGGTCTGAAAGGATGTGTCGCTGAAAAGAAGCCTCACTGAGAAAAGGAGAACATCACTGAATGTGTTTGTATTACTTGGATTGTGACGATTGAACTTTGGATGTGTGAAAACATATTCCTGGAGATTTATTTCAAAAACTGAAAGCAAGTCTCCTGAAAAGAATGGAATAAAAGTAAAGAGTGCACACAGTAAACACTGAAAAAAAATATATTTAGCTGTTGAGACTTCGGTGTCTTTTTCTGTTAAATATGTTGTCAGTTTTTTTCCTGAGGCTGAAAAAAGAATAACTTGTGCTTAATGACAATTTTCACTGGAAATGAAACAAGTGAAGGGTGGTCTCTGACTTTTGCACAGTACTGTATTTCCAAACTTTTGACCTGTATTACACAGTGTAAGATCCTCACCCTGAGAGAACACCCAGAACCAGGTTCAGCACGAAGAAGGAGCCAATAATGATGAGAGGAATGAAGTACATCCAGTTCCATGTGGGACCCAGTGCGTCATTAGTCTGAGGAGATATCGGACAACAGACACATTATTAGCCCCTGCCTGGAGAGTTTCTAGACAATGATGGAAGGCCTAAATCAGTAATTCACAAAAGGAACTATGACATCTCCAGAACTAGCTCTGAGTCCATTAACATTGCTTAAATGATGTCATCTTATATTGTGTTTTGGTGGACAGATTTGTCTGTACCAGGTGTCCATCGTGGTACCAGACAAATGCCCCGCAGTTCCTGCTTTAAGGATGAACAAGAGTTTAAATTCAATCTCATAAATACAAAAGATCCATCCACCCTCCCACAGTGTTCCTGATGAACCTGTGTTGGTGTAGGTCTCCTCGCAGTGTAACAACTCTCTCTCAACATAAACAAACATCATCCGCTGAATGAACATTAGTATCATTTTCTTTAAAATATTAAAAAAAAATGTATATGTAAGGGTTTGTCAACCACATATATATTAGCTATAGCTTTAACAAATGTTTACTGGAGATTCTTGAGTACTAGATAATTTAATTCAGAATTAAATCTAGTCCATGGCTATGAAAACTGCCCTAAATGTTTTACTACAGTAGTTATAATAAAAAAATATATTATAAGAGAGATCACAGCTGTTGTAAAATACACTAGATATACACATATGACCACACTCATCTATTAAAAATGTATTAAAACATCTGTATCATGAAAATGGAATTTATTATAGTATTTAAACACTGTTAACGTTTCAAAATGTACAGTTTACTCCTCAGTCCATACAGTCCATGTATGGAAACAAAGCTGCAAATACAGTTCCATTTTGCATTTGTTGTTTTTTATGATGCTATGAAAAACAATGGATTTGCATCTTTACCTATTCAGCCTACAGCAGTTTTGCTTCACAAATTTACACTATAGTTATGAGCAATGTTTCAACCTGAAACTGCTTTTGAATGAGGCACAATACAAGACAGCCAATCAGAACAGAGGTCATTTACATATATCAGTCTTAAAAGCACAGTAACAAAAACAGCCTGGTTAATTCGAAAGGATAAAGAGAGGTTGGAAATGGTTATGACTGTTTTTCATATATGAACCCACACAAATCTGTGGACCATATGGAAAAAATAAAAGTAAAATACAGGATATGTGCCAAGACGTTAGAAAATGAATTCATAAGCTACAGTTAAGGAAAGAATTGTTTAGTGTGGTTGTTACTGAAAATATATAAAATTATTTTTTAAATCTTGGTATAGCTTATAATGTATTTTATTGCTGTTTTCTAAGAGCAAAAAGCAATATTTTATATCGCTGCCTAACAACACCCTTTAACCATGGTTAAAACCACAATACATGGCAGCTGGTGGCTTGGTACAGGTAAACTTTGTTTTTGTTAATGATAAATCCCTAGAAATGATGTTTGTGGAGATTTTCTGTTGAAAACCAGTTTTAGTAATGAATGAAGTCTAATCTGATGTCGAAAATGGCTCTGGATGAATGTATTCAGTTGATAAAGAATGAGGTAAGCTTACATTGTAGAGCACAGCAGTCCAGCCCTCCATGGTGATGCACTGGAACACTGTGAGCACTGCAAAGAGGATGTTATCGAATTGGGTGATGCCGTCGTTTGGCCCGATCCACGTCCCGTTGCAGTCGTACTTCTCCGGACACTTTCGCACTCCACAGGCAAACTCCACCTCTGACGAGTCCAGCGTTTCGTTCTCTGACCAACACAACAAGATATAATTGTACTCACTTACATTTACCAGGTTTACCAGGTTTACAGTACAGTAGAAACATCTTAGGCTATCCTGTGAAACAAGTAGCAAGATGCCCTTAATATATTGTGAGAAACGCTTATTGTCAATCACCATCAAGGTCTATTTTTAAATGTTAAAAAATGTTAATAAATGTTTATTTGCTTGGACAAACACTACTTGACAGACGTCACATTAGCACTTTTTCTTTTCTGATAGTGAGAGCAGTTTTCAAGCCTTGAGTATCTGCTGATACCAATACCAAGCTAATATTTGCTTTTTGAAGGGCAGCTTTTCAATTTTCCTTTCCTTTCCTAGTCCAGAGAGTACACATATGGAAACTAAGCTGCAAAAACAGCCTGTTTTGAACTTGCTGTTTTTGTGATGTCACAAAAAATAATTATTTTACATAATTTACATATAATAGCCTTTTTAGCCTAAAGTATTTTAGCCATTTAGCCACCCACGCTGAAGTCTGAATAAGGCAAAATAAACAATTTTGTGACTGGCCTAAGACGCATATTGTACCATACACTATGCTTGTAATTGATCAGTATTGTATTATTGTGCATCAGTATCATTTTATGTGAGTGGTATATGCAGGGATGGCTCTGACCGAGGATACTGGGAATGGGCAGGCAGGTGTGATGGAGCTTCCCACTGTAGAACTCCAGGCCGATGATGGCGAACATCAAGATGGCAAAGAAGAGGAGGAGGCCAATCTGTAGCAGCGGCACCATCGCTTTGATGATGGACTTCAAAACGATCTGCAAACCTGACATATGACGTCAGAGGGGGTCACACACACAGCTGTTGCTTCAAGACCTCATTATTGCAGGATTTGCCACAACACAGATATAGAAAAAATGGTGTGCAATTACATGTACTATATTACTGATGCAAGAGCTATAAAAATGCATTGATGCATCGTTACGCATCCGAATGAGGCAATTTCAACTGCAGCAATTTTGTTATGTAATCTAAGCAATAGTGGAAAGCAGGACACGATTTAATACATTTTGGTTTTGCTGAATAATTTTAGGGGTATTTGAGCTAGATTCATATTTTCTACATATGAGTAACATACACATCTCTTCCACAGATGAAAATAACAACATTGTTTCTAGCACCTACTGAATACGTACAGATCAGCCAAAAACATTGAGAGTGCAAATGTTACAACTTACACCACAGGTAGGCTTTAATGGTTGTAGTAGTTTTAATATTCACCGCAGTGTCTGGTAGTTTGATGCTAACACAATTAAGTCAATACAATTCTATGTATTTTAAAACAGACTTTCCAGCCTAAATACATAAAAATATACGCATCAAATTGAATATTATCAGAAAAAGAGACCATGTTCAAGGCATTTTTGACTCCAAAGCAGAAGTGCTAATATCAGCACCATAATATGTAAATATATTTTACGTACATGGCATTTGTAGTACGTTTTTGATGAATCTGTGCAAAAAGACTTAAAAATTAAAGACTTAAAAAGACTTAAAAATTAGCTATTTTGATTTTATATAGGGGGCATACGGACTTCTCTCATTGATTACTTCGGGAGGGCTGGTTGTAACATTGTGGAGGCTACTAGCTATAGCTGTACTGGCTAGCTCTCACTGTGAGTTATCTACATGCTTGAAAATGATGCTGTATTACAGCCACTATTACAGAGTGATTAAAATAGATGTGAATTCTGGGATCTCAGCAACTGAAAAACACTTGTGTTAAAAAAAATTACTTTTATGTTACAAAGCAGGGTGAATCTTGAGAAGTAGGCCTGTCCAATCTGACCAATTGCTTTTAAATTTTGCAGATGACATTGCTATGGGAATACGCTAAGATTACCAAACGCATGATCTGCTGGAACACGTGTAGCTGCATAAAATGTCATATGTATTATGTATTTTTGAAAATTACTATTCTGAATTGCACCAAAATAACTGAAGAGCTGATTCAAATGGTGAATTTTGAGATTGCATTGATGCACTGAATCATTTTCTAAAGAATCGTTTCCACTAACGTTCACACAATCCTGCTGTAATGAATTTGTGAATACGTGAACGCAGTTAGGATCTGAAATTAAAGGGCGGTCATTCGTTTCTCTGTTTGGCCGCTGATGAAGGCGGCCGGCTTATTAGGGAGATCAATGATAAGATATTCTAAGGAGGGCTATTTATAGTGAGCAGGATGTAATTGTTATTAATGAAAGAAACTGGGGAGTGAGCTGCTCGGTCAGAATTCCTGCGGCTGGTTTGAGCTCCGTGCTGAGGATTCGTGAGACTAGTTGGAACTACTCACTGGGGATTCCTGAGACTAGTTTGAGGGGCCTCAGGACTCGCACTGCTCTCAGAGTCCTCAGATCCACCGGGATGTTCATGTGAGCTCCAGCAGTGGCCAGAATCCTGCAGTCAGAACAATAAATCACACACACAAACACACATACACACACATCTCGTCACTGACCTAGTTCCAAATATCCCCCCACCAAAACCTAGAGCACAACAACCTATTGTGGCTATAACAGAGAGGACCTTTTAATAGAAACCATACTCACATTACAGGCATTCATATGCTTATACATGGCATGTGGGCTCAATAAGAGATGACAGAAAGGGAAAAGAGGATGAATACATAATTAGGTCAATGCCAGGAGAATCGCAGCATAGTGAGAGAAAGCAGAGTAGTTTGCAGTAAAATAATGCTAACAAATGCACAGCATCATTTTTTCTCCAATGCTGGTAATAACAGGTTAGCGCTAATTTAGCAAAACATGAAGCTCCATATGCTTAGCTTTCAATTATCAACGTTTCAGCCAAATGGCATTGATCGCAAACATTTCAGTCACAAACCAGCAGAGCGATAGCAGAACAACGCTTCTACACTTTGTTGGAATACAGCTATCACGCATAAACATGCTCAAATATGTACACAAACATAGTGACCAGTCCAAGAGATAGACAGCAACAGAGAAACAGACAGTGATAGCAGTAGAAAGAGAGTCACAGTGGTAGAGAATGAGTGTGCGCTGAGTGGGAGAACCAAGAAAAGGATGTGCATGGAGGCGTAGCAGGGTGTTAAGCCTCCGAACAAAAGCCGTGTGACTGAATGTGCAACAGTCTCAAGGTTATGAATCCAACTAGAACATTCAGTGGGTTTGTTCTTCTCTACGTGTACCACTGTGTACACACAGCTTGAGCTGGGAACATAAAAAACACTGGAAATTGTAACAATTCCTTAGAAACGTCCACCCCCTAGTGCAGGGTAGGGAAGAGCATTCTGGCTAGTTCTGGTATTGAGTATCCGTAAGAGTTCATGAATGGATATCTGGTTAACCCAGCTAACCTCAAGAGACAAACATCAGCAAAAAAGAAAGAAAAATCCTGAAATTAACCCTGTTGAAAAATAGTATGCATTCAATGCTGGTCAAAGCTGTTTTCTGCTGGTCTGGTGCTGGTTTAGCTGGTCACCCAGCACGGAGGGGCATGTCTGAAATTTACCAATGCTGAGCCCATCCATAGTTGTACATATTTTGAATAGGGATAACGAATAACAGTACATAACAAAATTATTTTTCTGTTTTAACTGTTTTAATTTTACTGCAGAATGTTACTGTCAAAACCCAAAATTGATTGGTCAGGCCCTCAGGCGGCACTGCATTAAAAACACAATTCTGTAGCGTAAATTACTGCACGGGCTCAGTAACACGTCCAAACACTAAGTTAAATCTCTACCATGCATAGAAGAAACCAAATATGAACAGGGTCCAAAAACTCTTTCCTGAGCTTATTTAAGATGGACTGAGGCAAAGTGGAAAAGTGTCCTGTGGTCTGAAGAACCAAATTTCAAAAATTCTTTTTGGAAATCATGGACACTGTGTTCTCCGGGCCAAAGACTAGAGGGACCATCAGGCTTGTTATCAGTGCACAGTTAAAAAGCCAGCATCTGTGATGGTATAGGGGTGCATTAGTACACTTGGTATGGGTGATGCTCATCTGTGAACGACCCATTAACGCTGAAACACTGTGGGCAGTCCAGGCCTGTCACCCACTAAAAACATTTGGTGCATTATGAAACAAATATGACAAAGGAGACCCTGAACTGTTGAGCAGCTGAAATCCTATATCAAGCCAAAATGGGAAACATTTCACTTTCAACACTACAGCAATTGGTCTCCTCAGTTCCCAAGCGCTTACAGGGTGTTGTTGAATGAAGAGATGATGCAGTACAGTGGTAAATATGCCTCTGTCCCACCTTATTGAACTACGTTGCTGGCATCAAATTCAAAATGGGCATATATTTTTCAAAAAACTATTTAATTTCTTAGTTTTCTCATTTGATATTTTGTCTTCATACTAATTTCAATTAAATATAGTGTTTAAATAATGTGCAATCGGTTTTATTTACATTTTGCACAGTGTCCCAACTTTTTTGGAAACCGGGTTGTAATTAGCAAATTCAGCTACCTTCATGTGCACCCATTGCTGACACAAGTGTTCAACTGCAGAGTTTGTATGACCTCCACAGAGAGCATAGAGCAGTTGCACATGACCAAGGTCACTATTCTCAATAACAGACATCAGCTAGAGGGATATAAAGCCCGCAGCAATGGGCTGTGGAACAGTGGAACTGTGTTCTTTGGTGTGATGGAACTCCATCCAGTTCCACTGGTATGAGTTGGAGTGATCCAGACCTAATCATTCAACATCAGTACCTGATCTCCCTACTGCTCTTGTGGAATGTAATCAAACCCTCACAGCAATGTTCAAACACCTAGTGGACAAACTTCCCAGAAGAGTAGAGCCTGTTACAGCAGCAAAAGGGGACAAACTCCCTATTAACACCCTTGATTGCAGAAGAAACATTGGATGAGGTATCTATAAACATTTGTCTTTCAACATTAATCTATTCACAATATTTACACATATTATTTAAAATGTTAAAAATGATCAGTGTATTGTTTGGAGTCAGTGAAAGTATTCAGTCATAATGACTTCAGAAAAGCCCACAAAGAAATCTAACAGTCTGAAACAATAGCCCTGTTTGGAACAGCAGCGCCCGGGGACAGAATAAGCATGCAGAAACACAAGCAGTTCAGGTAAGGTTGGGTGAAACAGAGCACAAGGACATGAGCTGAATTATTGCAGGATCCATGCAAGGACAGAGGACTGACTGCCCTCTATTAATCACCCAGCACCAAACTGCACTAAAACTGCCCACAAATAACTATAACTATCATATCAGTAAAACAACCGAGGACAAATTCAAATGCAGTTCTAATTATAACAGAGGTCTAATACTAATTTCTGACTCATGACCGGAAGGTCACTGGTTTGATCCCCTGAGCCGACAGTATGTGCTGAAGTGTCCTCGAGTAAGGAACCTAAACCCTAACTGCTCCCCAGGCGCTGTGGATAGGGCTGCCCACTGCCCTGGGCAAGTGTGCTCACTGCCCCCTAGTGTGCGTGTTTGTGTTCACTAATGTGTATGTTGGTGTTTCACTGCACAGATGGGTTAAATGTGGCGGTGAACTTTCCCTGTTGTGGGATTAATAAAGGGTAACTTAACTTAATCCCTATTATAATGAAATAATTCATAATTCTGTTTAAGTTCTAATTCTATGTTTGATGCAGTTCTAATTCTAACTGAGTTTTAATTCTACTTCTAATGAAATTCTAATTCTATTTGAGTTCTAACTCTAATGGAGTTTGCATTCCAATGAGTTTAATTTTATTTCTCATAGGGTTCTTGTTCTAATCATACTGGAGCTCTCATTCTAATTTTAGAGAATTTTAACTCTAAAGGAGAATTCTAATCCTAATGCTGTTCTGATTCTAATGAGTAAGAATTTTAATCCTAATAGGGTTCTAATTCTAATCCTACTAGAGCTCCTATTCTAATTCATGTGGAGTTCTCCTTCTAATGGAGATCTAATGATAATGATGTTCAGTATGTAATTCTAATAACATTCTGGAGTTCTAATTCTGATTGAGTTCTCATTCTAATGAACTTTCATACCTACCTTGTTTAGTGCAAACCTATCAAACCTCCACCTTTATTTGGGTCTGCACCAAAGAACTGAACCATGGTCCACCAAAAACTGTGGGACCATGGCTCAGTTTGCTGCTGCTGTGAACACATATTTTCAATGATCCACACCAAAACAAGGGAATTCAACACCAGAGCATGCTTTTCTCTCCTTATAGCAGCACTTCAGCACTGTATGGTCTGCATAATCTGCCTGTTTTAATGTCTGACTCTTGACAGACGCTCGTATCGTTCCTGCAGCATGAGCTGCTGCTAATAACAGCAGACCAGCCATAAAATAATAGTGAAGCATGATCCATTGCTTTTGGCACACGGATCGCGGAATGCATTTTTGGCCAAGCATCGGCAACCTGATTGGTTCCATTCAAATTGGCAAACCAATCATAAACAAACAGATTTCGAGTAAGGTTTGTTATTATCGCTTTCATTGTAATACACATAGACAGTAAGCGTCTCTATTTTCTATTTTTCTATTTGCATGGTTGCGACTTTGAGTTCCCTGCTGAAAAACAGCATAGACCAGCATGCATTCCATGCTGCTTTAAGCTGGTTTATGCTGGTCTAGTGCTGGTTTAGCTGGTCACCCAGCATGGTCATGCTAGTTTTGCTAGTGACCAGCCAGAGTTCAAGCTTTAACAGAAGGAGTTTTTTTTAAAAAAGCCACTTGCAGACCTGCTGTGAGCTTAAAATACTGTATTTAAACTAGAACTTTCCTCAGAATCAACTATAGTTCTGAGCTAAGTCCGCAAGCTTGGCACCAACCATCTGTGAATGAGGAGAATTATCTTACAGCTGTTTTTTTTTTCAAATTCTACAGATCAAATCAAAACGTTTGTAAACATACTGTTTGTAAACATGTGGATAACTTGTGTCAATGGTAACAGCTCAATTAACGGCACAATTTCCAATAAATTCAAACATAACAGACAAAATAGTAACAATAACAATAAAATGTTGTTGTGTTTGCGGCTGTAACGTCAAATGTACCCAATTATGTAATGGATTTGCTTAAGTTTTTCCAGTTTTCCTGTGTTCAAAAGCGGTTGAATTTGCTCTAAGTAGCATTAACCCCAGTGAGGAATCCTCTGTCTTTGCAGTTGAAGCCAACGACAACTTGAATTATTTACTTTTCCAGATGAAGATGCCAAGAACTATTACATGAACAATAAGAGAACCAGAATGTAAACTAGGACAGTATGGTGATGTGACAGTGGGTGTTTTTAGAATTATTACTTTGTGGAGTTCAACAATAGGCATAAGCTAAAAGAAGGTAATGCTACCACAGAATGAGTGTTTTTGCTCATTTTTGTGCTCAGCAGAAGCTTTGTTTGATTCTAAACACGATCATGTGTAAACG